TGTGTGGCGTGTGTCTGTCTGTGTGGGTGTCTCTGTGTGTGGGTGTCTGTGTGTCTGTGTGGGTGTCTGTCTGTGTGTGTGTGTCTGTGTGGGTGTCTCTGTGTGTGTGGTGTTAGTACATGAAATACAAGTGTCAAGAGCTAAAGAGTCCTTGGGTTGTTTTTTTGTTGTTGTCACCAGTTATGGCTGAAAACCTGCACATCCCGTATAACCAACTTCACATCGATTACACAGTATTCGAGCAGCTGCAGTTATTTATTTTCAATCAGTAAATATGTTCATTTGGCACAACATTAAATATTTATAGTAAATAAACCAACGAGACATGGTAGTTGTTACATGGACAGCCTTTGCTGCATGTTTTGAGGATTTTTGTTCTTCAGCAGTCACAACTTTCACTGTTTATGTAAAAGAACATCACAACGCGCTGAAGACCACACATATAGGCAATTAACTGCTTTAATATAACATATATCAGAAGTATTTATTTTGGTTCACTGGTTAAGCACATTTGGTGAATATTGGCACTTGATTAAAACGTGTAACTTGTCTCCATTTCTCTTACTAACAACTCATCTATTATTATTATTATTCAGCTGTTTTCATGTGAATGGAATGTAGTACAGCACCAAACCCAAAACAGGATACAGTTGTTGCAGGTATTTCCGTAGTCAAAGTATCATGTAGGTTACAAAGAATGTAGCAGCCTTCAAATCTGAATATCTGTTGGTTTAAGACGACTGCAAAGAAATGTACCTTGGGTGGCGTTCCATTATCCCATATACTAACAGAATATTGTATTACAGGTTAGTAATAGACCTCATCATTCAACTATTACTAGTCATGTCAGTGTTCTGTATTTATTGGACATTTTATTTTGTCGTTGACTTATGTTCACTCTTCTGTTTCTGTACGCTGGTTACTATTTAATAACACCGTGGAACCAGAAATATATGCTACTATGGCCTTTGTCAGATAGGGGTCTGATATTCTTATTTAGATCATTGGGACATACTGAGTGATAAAACTACACATGCCTTTGATAACCTTGTCATGCTTGATCTCAGTCAATGTCTCTTATATTCCATTGCACTTGCTCATGAAATATTTAGTGAGTTTGATGTACCACAAAGCATACCATACGAAATTAAAAAGCGTTCTGAGCACGTAAGCCTCTGAGGTATGGGTATTTGTTTTTTTGGAAAAAATATAAACCAAGAGTTGTTCAATCTTGTCTGTTGTATAATAGAAAAAGGATGAGGTTAAATTGGACCACCTCCTCATTCTCACCAAACACTGCATGAAGGATGCTACACAATCTAAGTTTTAGTTCTAAGCACTGATAATTTTATCGAATTTGGTATTCATTTTAGAAGTGTACATAGTTCATCTTAATTGAAAACTAGAGTGGACCACCATTTTATGTTGTTAGGATGAATATCAATAAAAATGGAGAATTTCTTCCTCACTCGGTATTAATTTGGGCTTTATAGTTAAAACAAAGAAATGTATTAAATGAAACATTCAGCAGAGACAGGAATGTGAATCTACAGCTCTTAGAATAATGACTGAATCAAGATGGTGGTACTACCTGAGCTCCAGGGTTTTTTATGAAACTTTATACATTTTAAGTTTAGTAATGGCTAGAGCATAATACTCTTAAATATTTTTACAGTTGTACTCCTATGACTGAACAATGTTCAAGCTTTTACATTAAAAATGTCTAGGTTAAATCATCTCAGCCAGCTGGACCTAACCATACCCTAACCAAATGTGTGTTTTATCTCCATCAATACATCAGTAAGTCTGAACCATGTCTGTTTAGACTTGTTACATTTTAAAGGCCCTTTTGGCCAGATGATTTATTGTATTGCAAAATAATATTTTAAGTCATACTCTGTGGAAATAATTTGAGAGTATCCTCAAAATAGTCAGATTTCGTAGCTCTGTTTTTGATCAGTTTTAAAGGTGAAATACAGTTATTTCAATATTGAAATGTTCTTTTGAACATAAACTTATTTATCTTAGTCCCTGCACATGTTGGTTGGTAGAGTATGAAGGATGATGGTTTTACTGGTTAAAAAATGTAAGAATTTTGTTTTAAGCATTGTAAAGTAGTAATTAGTAATAATAAATTCCTGCACCATAATTTGTTTTCTCTAGTTCCTACAAAGAAAGATAATCTGAAACTTAAATTTCTAACCTCCAGTTCAGTATCCAAATTTGTACTGTACCAGGACTGCTTGAATGTTAAATATTAATGTGAATTTAAAACATCCTGATCAGATGACTGCAGTAATAACCCTGGAGGAAAGTTCTATGAACACAGCGTGCAGTAAATGCTTCTTGTGTGTGGTTCTCAATATCAACATAGAATTATTTCATACAGTATTTCAATCTGTCTTGATTTTTTAGTATTTGAGCAGTATTTAGCAAAAAACCCCAGATCATTTCTGTGAATTAGTTACAAAATGCACATTATTGTCCATGGACAAGCATGTTCACACTGCAGTTACATGTGGTCACAAGCATGGAATACAATGTTGATTGCTTTCTCAGCCAATTCTACTAGCATTCTCTTCATACATCAAATTGCAGAAGCTCCCGTGGTTTCAGTTCATGAGCTGTAAAGTGTTTTTAAAAAAGCTGGTAATATTACATTAATAAATTCCACCAATAGGGTAACCACTGCAAGCTAAGCTACTGGCAGTTTAAGCAAGTTCTAGTATTGTGCTGCCATTTCCTGTTTTTAAATGAGTGATTCCAATACAAAAGAGCTGCACTTTAATGTGTCTGTGATAACAAGAAATTAATTCATTTCCAATGTTTTTCACTGAAGTGATCAGGTTTTCCTGGCACTATTGATTTTATTGCGCATTCTTTTGCTTTTTCATTTATTAACATCAATTATCTTAGTGCACCATGGATTCCAGTGAACAGAGAGCTGAGCTGGTAGCCAGATGTGATCATTGAATTATCAACATTGTGGTCACACCCGAGGGGTCCCAATCTCTTTCCCTCTCACATAGGTTTCAGTTGCACTGAGTCAAGCAAGTGAGCATGGAGGAGAAGTCACTCTTAGAGCTAGTACAAAGAATGATACAATAAGGTTCACTGGTTGGCACATTCACACGAATGTACGTATGTAAATATTTATCCATTTATTTTTAAACAACATTGTTTCAGGAGATAACTGTTGAAAGCAGTCATAATCTTCTGTTTTGATAGTTCTTGAACATATATACGTGTAATAATTTCCCCAAATTCTGTGGAACTCACCATAGGCACTGTTTGAAAAAATGAAAATGTCAGATTTTAACAAAAAAAACTCTAAAAAGTTGGAGATTTCATTTATTCTGCACCGTTTGGGTCCAGCTTCCATATCCTGAAAAAAAACATATTCTTAGCAGGAATTTCACTCTAGTTTGTGCCTCAAATTAAAGTCACACATAATTGGTACAGGTGCCATATATTATGGAATTTCTACTTGTAACATTGTGCAAATACGTGACTGGTAATGTGGTTTTAAGTACGTTGCCAATGGACAACACCATTTCTTGGAGCTCCTGCATGTCTAAATCCATTGGAGGCTGATTTCATTAACCCCAAAAGGGTAAACAGTATTGATGTAGAATACATTGTACATCACCTATTCAATAAAGACCCTTACAGCTCTAATTGAGTTTCCAGGTAATGTTCCATCACAAGCCATTTAAGGAATCTTTGTCCTTAATCCTTCAATCGATCTGATTTTTAGCTTTAATTATCATTTGAAGAATTAGTTGGGGATTATTTATGTGAAACATGGAGTTCTTTAAAGTGGCTTTTTCAAAGGTGACCTTTAAACAGCTGAACATCCTGAATATTTTTTCTTGTGTAAAGCAACGTGGAGTGAAAAGTTATATTGGTATAATGCTAGAAATAAGTTATGGAGAAGGAAGAAAATGTCTTCAGAAAACCCTCACCCAGAAAAGGGGATAATTGACTGAGGCAATGCAGACCAGACCGATTTTTATTCTGACCTGCCGTTTAGACGTAGTCAGTCAGGAACGGTAACTACTTTTTTTTCTCTCCCTTACCACCACTCCTGCTGAAATTCAGGGTAGGTCAGGGATCATGCTTGTTTTTAAATAAGTGATGTAATTCCAAAATAGTTAGATTTATTGTGATTGTAATAACAAGAAATTAATTCTTCATTTCCAAACGTAGACTCCTTCTTTGTGTGGTTTCAAACCATATTATACCATTAAGTGATCTATCTGTGAATGATTTTATGATGACTTGTGTAAAATTTAATAAAGTAGTAATATATTTAGTACTGTTTTACAAACAGTTGTTGTATAGCTGGAAATAGAAATAATGTCATCCTCAGTCAAATAATTTGATCAAATCGATTAACCTTGAATAGAGTTTCATCTAGTTTCCTTTATTTCATATTACTTTTGGTACTATTTTCTTAAAACCGTTAGCTGATCAATATAGTTCCCGCAAGGAAAGTAAATGCCATACAATGCATATTTTTAGGTTTGTAAAATTTTGTATGGAGAAATTCGCTGGCAGAATTGTTTTGAGTGAACTTTCAACTTTATATTTTCTTCCTGCCCATATTGCATAGCTGAGATTGCAGCAGGGCTTTAGTGGTGTTTACTGTGAGAGGAGTGTAAGACTGCCCTGTTTTGTTGAATGGTGTGAAAGAACTATGACCTCTCTTTATGCCTACTCTTAAAAGCTTGGGAGATGTGGGAAGCAACCCATGTTGTACTGTATTGCTTTACGTGTACAGGAATTTGATGCATCTAAGTGCTACTTGTAATAAATTCTAGCTTTGCAACAAAAACTGGGTCATGGAGCTGTCTCTGCTTTTAACTAACAAACTTCTGAGCAACATAGTATTTTGTTAACTAACTTTAGGGTTTCTAATAACATTGCTTTATTGTAATTGCATTGTTTTGATATGTAAAGCTTCAACTAGATTATTTTCTTGTTTTTTCTTTATTTAGACATTCAAGTCCATAGTGGAAAAGACTGTGGTTCATTTGTTCATTGCAATAGAATTCTTCGTGGATAAGCAGCTGAATTTTGTGCCTGGGGATAGTGCCTTCCAGCTCTACCAGGTAGGATAAACAATTGAGAAATTAATTTATTCATCATTTATTTTTATGCTTACAAATGTTATGTCTAATCATAAGTGTCTAATGTCGTAGTTGTCATACCAAAGGCTAATGGGATAGGGCAAAAACAGGCCTTTTTTTTTTCAAATGCAGAAGATTTTCATGAAAATAAAATAACATTAAATAGTATTTTTGCATTGATACCTTTGTGGACTTTTATGATATCTCCTCTTTGCAAACAAATGTCTAATATCACAGCTTTGCCAGACCATATCCTCACTCAGACCACAAATGCACTTTAAAGCAAAAGTCACTAGATATCAATTTTGGTGATTCCCCCCTCCCCCTATTTGCTATGTTACGGGAGTCCCGAGACCAATTGTAGTGCCCCAACTGTTGCCTAGGTTGAAATCAGATAAGTTAATAATGGTCAGAATTCAAACCTGTGATCTTTTGGTTTGTCTGGCCTAGTACCAAGTGGTGCTTTTATCCATCAGGCCATTGAGGAAGGTTCAAAGTCAGCTCAGTCGAGTACATGGTTTGCTTTCGCCAAGTATTACTTTCTTACTCTGACAGCTCAGCATGACATTGGCATGCAGTGTTCCAAGCTGCCCCAAGCACGTTGGTCTTCAATCTTCTATCAATTTCTTCATTACGTTAGTGTATGCCTATTGCTGTATGGAAATTGAATGAACGTGGATAAAAATTAGGTTAGCTATAGTAGGTATGATTGCTTTCATTCTTTGACAACAACAACAAATTGCATTTATATAGTGCCTTTCACATCAGGAACAGTTGTTTATTCCTCATTTCTAAAGTTGCTGGAAAGTGTGTTTCTTGTTTCTCTCTGAACTGATTTTGGTCAATCTGGCTGATCTATGCTCATTGCATGGGCTATAAAGCCATGTTCTGCATTATTAACAATAATAATCCTTGTATTTGATATAGTACCTTATCACGTTGTTGAGACATCTCTATAAGGTTTTTACAAGATATAATTGTAAGTGGATTGACTGTATTGTAGTCTCTTATCACATCGTCGAGATATCTCAAATAAAAGCAGATTACGGCATCAGAAGAACACCTGGGCTTTATATTTCATATGTGCAAGGGTGTACACTACCTTGATTTTTTTGATCTCTTGAGTTTTACCAATTCTGTATTTAAAAGCTGGGAGTATCTTATCAACTGCAATCTTCAGAATGGAAGTGCCTAATTAGTGTAATGGATATATCTCATTTAATTTAGGAAAGATAAATGTGGGAATCCATTATTTCAATACTAAAGCCATGAAACTAGTGGAATAATTTTCTGTTTACATTTCTAAAGGGAACTGAGTTTTGTTATATGTAGTAGAATGGTTATGCATTTGAGTTGAGCAGGAGGTATTGACTTGGCTTCAAGCCAACAGCTGAAAGCCTGCCAAAAAGTAAAAGTGAAGGACAAACCAGATGGGAAGGATTTTTTTAAAAAGAATAAGATGCATACTAAAAAGCAGTCTACAACTCCTTCAGTGGCACTTTTAAAATGGGATTACTTCCAAAGTATTAATATGCTAAAATAAGATTATTTGTTCTTTACAGTCAAATACATATACATAATGACAACATTATTTTTAATTTGCTCCTAGGTGCTGTATATGTGTATTGGTTTATGTGGATAACTATTACATTTAAGTTGGCTTAATTTTATGGGTTGCAAATTGTAACATGAACCTGAGAAAATTTCCATGTAATCATGACCAATTATTTATTAGTCTTGTTTCCAGTCTGTTTGGTTTACTATTTGTGAGCCATTAGTATCTATAGAATTCATTGTTTTATGTGTTATTCCAATTACTTTGTTGTAAAATATACTAAAAAGGACCCTAACATTACTGCATAAATCCAATTTAGTTATATACTACATTACTAAAATGCATTTAGGGGAGCACACTTAATATCATTCTACAACACAGGAATGCTTTGTGATCCTACCCCTACCTAATTTCACCTGATGTCTCTTGCCTGATTTGATGCTCAAATTTGATACTTATCAGCCTCTATGGCGCCTGCCTGGTTTTAGGATGTTGTCCAAACTGGGGGTTGTTTCTGTCTACACTTTTTTTATTTTTTTAATCTCTCCAATAAAAAAAGAGAAGGAAATGCTTTTTGGAGGTGACTTTCCACAAAGCGATTGAAAAGAACTAGTGAAAGATCCCTCCAAATAACTATGGATCCTGTAGTTTAATTTTCGTTTTGTGAGTAAGTTCCTGACCTCCATTTGGCAGCTGCCTATAGTAGCATAATTGAAATCAGGAGTTCACAACGTGGGGATTCATATGTAGGTCCTCATCCGACCATTCTGTATAGCATTTAAGATGTTTTGACTAATAAAAGAGCTAGCACCCAAAACTGGCTTAGAGGTTAATTGTACCACTTAGTGTGGTACAGATATGAAGGTCGCTGATCTGATCTCTGATATTTGTCGAGTTAGGATGGCATTAGGGGCACTATAGTTGGTATCAATGATCTTGGACTGAGGAATGGGGGGGAATCCATTGTTCCTGATCACTATTTTACCTCTTCTCAAAATTCTGCAAGTGTGGATGATTGGTGAAGGACTGATTTAGGCTTAACTGTGATACCCAGATGGTTGAATAGCTGCTGACGCTGTCTAGGCTTGCATGCAAAGAATGCCCACTTGTGCTAGTTGCTGCCGGCAGCTGAGAAACCATATCCCACAATGAATTGCTGCATTGAGGAAAAGGGAGACAGAGGGGTGGAGTGAAATGTTCAGGGTGATGTTGAGCTTAATTATCTATGCCCTGATATATGAGAGGGAGATTCTGGTCGTTCAGAAATGCTGCCTTCGGGACATCAGACTGGAAGAGATAAAACATGGTTGTAGCAACCGCAGCAAATTTAAAATATATTTTAAAATTATTTTAATTACTTAAAATTACTTATGACCAAGTTATGAGTTTGTCATAAATAAATAACTCTGTCCTGCCGTCTGTGTTCATATAGTTAATAGTTTGTGGTTATAACAGTTAAATCAAACAGCCGTTAAACTTCAAAGCTTTAGTATATGTCCACGTCTGTTGTGAAAATGTAGTTATAATTACTGCCATGCTTTTAAACCCCAGGATTTTCTGTCTGTACAATTAATTTGCATCAGATTTGCCAGAAGTGTATTCTAAGAAAGCTATTTTATTACTGGATACATTATTCAAGCTTTAAAGTCTTATACATTTTTATTCATTCTCTACATTGTCAACACACTTCAGGAACAGGCTGACCATAGGGCAACATTCCTTTTAAGATGATTTAACATTAGTCACCTCTGATGTTGGAACGTTATACACATGATCCTTCCTACTCCCATGTTGTATTAAGGGTGGAACTCTGTGTGTCATTTTTCCTTGATTAGAAAATGGTTGCTGTCATGCATTGCCCTTCTGTGTTTTTGGAAGAGTTTTCTCTTAACTCATCAGAAAACTGGATGAAAGCACTGCACACAAGGTAGCTATGGTTTCACATATGATCAGGCAGCTTACCTTGAACAGATGAGGTTGTTCAGAAATCTGCGGATCCTCCTGTTAACATTTGTTCGGGGTCTCTCACTGGTTGATCACCAGTCTCGTAAGTTTTGTTTCGGGGCCATGTAAGTAGGTCTGCAAGCTGGATTGCTTGACCTGCTAAAAACAGATGTTTCTGCGTATACTCCCTCCAATTCCACTGATTCCTAGGGTCCAGGTGTTTGGAGAATGTTCTAGCTCAAAGAATTAGAATTCCTACGTGGCAGACCCTAGTTGTTTTGGATAGCTGCCTTGGTATTTAAGAGATGAGACATTTCATGCTGTTTGAACACAATATTTAAAACATCACAGGATAGTGCAATTTTGTTCCAGAACCAAGTAATAATAATAATCCTTGAATTTGATATAATGCCTTATCAAGTCTTTGAAATGTCAAAGTGCTTCACAGAATATAGTGCAAAATGAATTGACTAGATTTTTGGGTGAAAAGTGATTCTGTAATGCTTTGGGCTGCTGGAATCCACTGTAACCACAGCAGCAACCACATAGAAATGAGTGTTCCACTCAGTTATTTTAGAGTTGTATTTGCCCCTTTTTTATTCCCAAATATTTGCTAATGACCAATGTGTGTATGGCCTTAGTGCACAGATTGACATAAGAAGTAAAAGGATGAGAGTTTGCTGCTCTTAGCCAGGGCTACACAGAAAGTGAAATCGACCTAGCCTTCCTAGTATTGAAGAGGGGAAAACCAACCAGAGTTTCTTCTCTGGTTCCTCCATATCACTTTCTACTAGTTGTGCAATTGTGACAGCCAGGTGCAAAGAAGTTGGGCTTGGTTGTGACTGCCATCTAAAGCCTTACAACCAAGGCTCATATGTGAATAGTGTAGCAGGATACCCAGTGCCTGTACATCCAGCAAGAGGTGGCCAGATTATGCAGCCAGTGTGGAAAACATTTGAAAAAAGAATTGGACACTTTTTTTAAATAAAGCTAGCCAAACACAGCATTATGCAAACACTGTCAGGTCCATCTCCTGATATCTCCTACCATTATTTTGGCTGTGGTGATCACAGGAACAAAATTCAAACCTTGTACAATTGCGATGTCTCTGACATTGTTCAGTCAGTTTATTGGATGACAGAATGTCATTGCATGCTCAACTGCCTATGTCTTTCCCAGGAAGTTCAGGCTCACCTTCTGAGAGTGAGAGAGGCAGTAAACGTTGATATCAGAGTGTTCACTGAAGAGTGGTAATCCATTCCAAAGCAGCCATTGTATAAAAGGGTAATTTCCCTGCTCGGTGGCCTGATGTGCAAGATTAACATCTGATTAGAAAGGGTGTGCCCTCATTAAGATTTCATTTTCATCTGTACAGGTCAAAATGAATTATGTTTCTAATCTTCAAGTGCTTGCCTTCTACATATGTTGCAGAATTCAAATGTTGTTCATGTTAAGATGTATGGAAACAACTGGAGGAAAGTTCACAGCTGGGAACAATTTGAACCTGTGGTACTGCACATATTACATGACCACTACAGTAAAGTTTCATGCAAAAATAGCAGAGTTTAGAACATTTCATTATTTTGCTTTGCAATGATTAACTAATATGTCCCTACTTCTTTGATGTGAGAACCCCCAGTTCCTGATTTGTTTGTTCCTCTCATGTTTGGGGAAGACTGAAATGTGAAAGTATTTTATGTGTACATGACAGATTTCTTGCTCGGTCGTGTTCTAATTACAGTCTAATTTTGTTTGAAGAAAGTGTGGAATGCAGCGTTTTCAACGATGCAGCAACAGTAGATAAGTTAATGATTGCCTTCCAGGCTTTTCTCAAAGCATTAAATTTAAATTCTGCTCATACATCAGCTTCATGCAGTAAAAGACTGAACTGTTTCTAATGAATTGTTCGAAGGGGAGGGAAGAAAATTGGATATTTTTGGCAACTGCTTCTCTCCATAGCTTTCATTATTGCTCTCAGTGGTATTTCCCAGTAATATGTTTCCTGTTTCAGCCAGGAATAGGTGGTGCTTGGGGCTATGGAAGACTCCAGGGCCAGTGCTAATCTTGGTTTATAATCAGATGAAGAAATCTGCTTCTGTAGCGTAGTGTGTCAGTTTCCCCTTCTCCCTGTAGGGATACCTTAATGGTGCCCAACATTCAATCTGGCAATTGTGGTCAAAAGCCCTATTGATGTCAAAGCTATAAAATTCATATTTATTGCAAATTCATAGCTGACCTTCATAAAAGGTCTCTGTGTGAATATTGTGGGATTACAGTAGTTGCTCTGTTCATCTTTTGAAATATAAACTCCTGTATTTTTACCTTGGAGTTTACTTGAGTTGCTAAGAAGAAGGTTTATATGAAGGGTGTGTAAACAGCTGATGTCGATCTGTTTTTACCCCCAAGATGCTTTTTAACAAACTGAATTTTATAGTTAATTTGAAATAAGAAATTGAATACATGGTAGCTTTGGGCTTCTAGTACATGTTGTAAGACTGTTTTTGTACACAGGCTAAATGGATTTTGTTTGAGGTTAAAAATCCAATAAATTTATCAGCTTCCAATAGGACACAGATTGCCAAACAGTACCAGTCCATGCTGCCTTATGGGGAAAAATGAGGTGGTCTCAAGTGCAATACTAAATTTGCAACAGCGTTCCAACTTTGGATTTATTACAGATGTACAGCTGTTCCAAATCCAATTGTACTGTTTACATGCTGAAAATTAATGCAATTTTAATTCCAGTGATGAGTACAAAATGCCTCCATGCTGGAATAAACTGTCTCTCCTGTGTTCAGTGAATTTAGATCATGTTATCAAAAATCACTTGATTGAAATCAGCCATATTTTGTTCAGTTACTTTTGACATGCTATTGCTGCTAACACCATGTTTTGTCTGACTCTTGGTCTGAAGCAGATCTTTGCCAGTATGCCTGGCGGCTGCTCAGCTGAATGTGGATTCTATTTTTAGCATAAGCACAATTCCATGCTGGACACGCAATTTATCAGTTGTATTATGTTAGCTCTTTATCATCTTTTCATTTTAATGTATTTTTAATGCAATGCAAAGATTTTATGTCAATGTTCATTACGGTTTTGTTTTTGTTTATGATGTTGGCAGCCATGTGCCTCATTCTGTATTGTATGATTCAAGTCAGATCAACGTAAGATGCATGTGTTGGTAATTTATCAGTGTGTGAACTGATTTGCATTACAAATTTGCGACACCTCAACGGAAATATTTGCCAACTGGTTACCTTGTTGCTGATAAGTACATAAATTGTCATATTGTTATACAGCATTTGCAGTGTCAATCATAGCAAAGAATGTTTGGATTTATATTCTTATTTTGGTCTGCGTTGTAGATTTGTAATTGTTCAAATCTCAACAGGTTTCCTTCACAATCTGTTCTATAAAAGAATAAAATACACGTTGATGTATATTATCAATCTGTGATATTTAATTTTCTAGAAAATGTACAAACTCAAGATTATTTTGACAACAGTAATGTTTGAGTGGCAGAGCTGTGGTTTTGGTTTATCCTATGGAAAGGAGTCTTATTTTATCTGATGCTTTTAATTTCAGTGTTTTTTATAGAAAGTCTGGGAGCGTTATGCCAGAATCCTATTTATAAAAGTCACGTGGTGTACACACCATGATTTTTTTAACCAGTTGTCTTTCTTTGAGAGAAGTCCTAAGGTCAGCCAGATCAGGATTTATAAAAGGAGACAGGAATAGCAGATCCCACGTCTGCCATGGGAATTGAACCAGATCTTTTATGAATTTCAGGTCCGTTTTACTCAAAATTCTTGTCCTGGAGGATAACCCTATTGATTCAATTATTATCAGCCAGGACCATCTCTGAAATATGCATTCAGAGTGTTCCAACGGGCTTCAATATTTGTACTCTTGCGAGGAGGGAGAGGTTACTGCCACAAGTAGTTTCAAAAANGGCCTATCCTGAGACTTCTCCAAGATGTCTTTTTAGAATTACAATTGGCCATAGGAAATCAACAATCTTTCTATGTATCAAGGTTCTCACCTCTGTTTACAAGAAAATTGATTTCACTGCAGCTTTACTCTTTGTTCTCTCTACCTAAATCCTGTATACTAGGGTATCCTGTTCGTATCCTATGGAGGCTGTAGATCCCACGTCAAACTATCCCTAAGCAGCGTTAGGTCAGTTGACAACGGAAGTTAATAACAGCTTCAATCAGCTGTCGAATTGAGATAACACAGGCTAGGTTAAAGGTCATTTCCCACACCACAATTTTTTCTCTATAGAAATAACATGACCTCAATTCAGTGTAGTAACCTGAGGTGTTGGTAAGACTGCAAAGTACAACATATCGCACATCCTTCCTCACCCGGATGGGGTTTGATCAAAAACTGGAATATTCTTACCATTTTCACACAGGCGATTGAGACCATTTAATTAATAAAATGAATAATTGCAATGCTGTTTTCTGCCCTAAATCCTAATGTCTGGCTGTATGCAGTAAACTACATGATTTCCTGTCAATTTCAGCTTTTTAATAAGCTTCGAAACTGATCATATTTAAAATGATTTTTTTTAGGTTAAACTAGTTTTTCTCAACCCAGCTATCATTTTCACTCGTGGGCCACACATCAGCTGTAGCCAAGAAGGCAGATGAGAAGTCTGCTATGACAGTGTAAATGTTGCTTTGAGATTATTTCAATGTCACTTTTCTACTCCTAGAAGGGGGGGAGGGAGAGTCATTGGTGACTCTTCACGGTGACACAGCCGAAATCAGGATCTCTGTGGAATTGGGGATCGAACCTGGGTTCCACTATTGCACAATGTGTGATTTGCAGTAACGAAATACGACCCAATTTAAATTTATGCATGGCCTGGGAGAGATTACTGTGACAGGCAGAATATGCATATTATTAATCAATACATTTACACAGTATAACAAAGGACTTTTTTTTAAAAAAAAGGATGATGTGGATAGTCTGAATCCAGTTCTCAGAGACAATCCGCAGCTTCACGAAGAAGTAAAAGCTTGGGTGAAAGAACAAAAAGTACAGGAGATTTTTATGCAAGGTATTGTACTGTGGTTTTTATATTCCTTACATTTATAACAAAAGCGATTGTTCTTCTCAAAGATAATTTTAACGGTAAACTCGTAAACGTAATTAGAACAGGATTTATTTAACTTTATACACATTTACACCACCACTTTGAGATATGAATGAGTGTTATTATCAAACTCTTACTCGGAACAGATAGCTTTTATTAGTGCACAGCTGTGGTTGAATAATGCATTAGTCGTAATTCATTTCTCTTGAGGAAACTTGCTTCATTTTTGTAACAATGGGAATGAATTGTCCCTAATCCCAAGATCCTTTGCATTTGTTTATTCATGTGTTGTCCATTCCAGGTCCTTATTCATTGAACGGATACAGAGTACGAGTATACAGACAAGACTCTGCCACCCAGTGGTTCACTGGTATCATTACTTACCACGATCTTTTAAGTCGCACTATGATTGTGATGAATGACCAGGTAAACAGGGGTTGAAGAATTAACAAATCACTGCTCTATTGATTCTGTGTGTTCTAAAATGCTTTGGATCCTCTATATGTGAAGACTTTGTAAGTGAAGTATGAGTAGAAATTCTGTGGGTGACAAACTTCTTGCAAGATTAGATATTTTAGAGGAGAACTGTGTGTGTTTCCTTCCAGTTCTCCCTGCCCCATCTTGGAGGCAGTGAGTCCATTTCAAGGTACAGTTCAGAGCAACTCTCAACTGTCTCGTCTTAGTTCCCATTCTGCTATGATTTTAAACAGTCAATCCTTGCAGTTTATTTGACCGCAGGCCAAGGAATCTTGTGGGAATTTAGATTTGTAGACCAGATGCACGGATGGACTCTTCTGCTTGAAATTGTTGCAGTATATCACAGCTGAACATCCACACATTAACTTTCCAGCAGAGGTCATGGGATAGTTGTCAGGAGGTCATTGTTCTTTACCTCCTCTCCGTCCTCACAAGACTACAAACATTGAAATCTGTTGAAACACTTCCACTGTTTTGACTGAGATCAAATACTAAGTGATGGTAGAGCCTTAAGATGTTGAACAGTATTCAGAATATCATTTAAGGGACATGTTGCTTAAGATGTCAATGTCTGAATTTTTTAAATTCATATTAAAAAGTGTTTTTTTTTAATAAACCAGGTGCTAGAACCACAGAATGTCGACCCATCTATGGTACAAATGACTTTTTTGGATGATGTTGTTCCTTCTCTGCTGAAAGGTGAAAATCTAGGTATCACGTCCAGAAGAAGGTCTCGTTCCAGCCAGAAAAGTACAACTGCTCATGTGAGTAAATAAAACAATAATTAGCAATAATAAACAGCGCTAAGGATTTTACTTGTACTGGGAGCGACTGCAAGCCAGAAATCTGATCAAGTGGTTCATGTAATATCACAAATCGTGAGAGGACTATTCAAGCAGATTATAGTATCACCTGAACCACAAATAACATTCTAGCTTTGAAATTCTAGCATTGTGTTCAATACTCTCTAATGTGTTCCTTTCCCAAGCAACTTGCTTTGTTCTGTTGATGCTGGTCAGGGCTCTTTACATTGCTGTATTATGACATTGAAGGATGAATGACTGTGATGCATACAGAGAATTTTTCAGTTGATTACCTGAAAGAAATGTAGCTAATGAATATTTTATTAATGTAAAAACTGATGTGCGCTTTATGAAAGGAAATAGTTGGTTGCTAACGTACTTCAAAATCAAATGTACACTGTGGAATTGTCAGGCTTACGATCAGTAAAGATCTATTTATAAAATCAATTTATTTGTTTGCCACTGATGTTATTTAACTTTATACAGTACTATATGACATATCTCTGTTGTGATAGTATGGCACTTGTGGTGTAACATTACTCCCACCATTATGTTTAATTGCTAAAGCAGCTGTCTCAGACGATTCTAATTAAAGATCTGTTGTGAGGTCTGCATGGTCTCTGGTGCTGCCATCCAGATACTCTAAAGTCGAAAAGTACACAGCAATATAACAATGCTTTAAGTATTCAGATAGAAATACACACAGAGTAGTACAGATAGATATAATAAAAAAATAATTTGGGAAGTAGGGAGGGGCGAGCTCAGATTTCCACCAATGTGCCCACTCCTTCCAGGTATGCACATTACAGCAATGAGAGCAATAGGAGCCCTTGCTCTACATTTCCAGGCTACACAAAAAGTAAGTCTGTGTTGTATTTTTTTTAAAAAAGTTATCCTTGCCAGTTTTCTGCCCAAATTTTCTCCTCTTCCACCTCCTCTGATGAAGGTATTTGACTCCCTTTTTCCTACCATTAAGGTACACATCCATGAGTCCCACGCATCCTCTGGTTTCTCACTCAAATGACCATTATTCCTATTCGTAGCTTATTGAGTGTCAGTTGCAATTGAATGCGTTCCTGTCCTCATTATATGTCCATATGCATGTATTTTCAGGAGAGGTCACTGAATGCCATTTTTTTAAAAAAAGGGAGGAATCAAGAGTGAGAACCTTTGCTTGATTTTCTTCTTCCTGACCCAGGGGTGCTGAAGCCAATTGTAGCTTGCAGAGTGCGTTCCCAAACAGCTGTGCATAACCAGAGGATTCAGCCTGGGGCCCCTATGATTTGCATAGCCAGTTACTGACCTGAAATACTCACAGAACTGTTGAGTGAGCTCTTCTTTGTTTTAAAAATGCAATGTTTCTGCATTTAAAAGAATTAAATAAAAGACCAAAAAATAGACCGATAATGATAACCCAAAAAATTTCATGTCTGCTATTTTCTAATTAATTAATTGTATCATTAAGAGGATGTTTAAATCATCTACATTTGTCCTTGACAGAAACGTGATGAAATAAATGCAAACTGAGGGAAATAGTTACATAGGTATTACTTATATTTTTTTAAACTTTAAAAAAGTGTTTTTGAGGCATTTTGTAATATCTAGTGTGGAATATGAAGCAGATTTTAGAAAAATGAAGTTTGCTGTAATTTCAAAAGAAACTGCATTCCAACAATTTTCGTCATAATATGTAAATACTGTTTGTTACTTGATCATATCCAGGGTCATTACACACGTGCTCAAGCAAACAGCCCACGACCAGTAATGAATTCACAAACTGGATCGGTCAAGCAAAATCAGCAGCAGTTACGGAACATCCGTTTAAACAAAAGGAAAGGATCAGATAGCAGTGTGCCAGAAGAAGAGAAGATGAAAGAGGAAAAATGTGACAGTCCTGTAAGAGGAGGTAAAAATCCCATAATAAATGCTTTAATTGCCCATTTATTTCTAAGTTGGGTATTTGGGACTGTATCTTTCAACTGGGAGTAAAAGGTCTTTTTTTTTAAAACAGAATCTTCAAAGACCAAAACTAGGCAAGCCTCAAATAAAAGGAGAAAACCAGAAGAGGATGAAAAGCAAATTACTTCAAAGAGGCTGAAAGCAGATAATAACTCAGACACTGAGAGCAGTGACTCAGAAAATTCCACCAATAAAATAATCTCAGATTCTTCCTCTGAGCAAAGTTCAGAAAGTGAACTGAAAAACAAGAACACTTCAGATGACAGTAAAGATGAAGGAAAATCACAGGAAAATGCAGAGATAATGAAACAGTCAGTTATTCATCACCCATCTCCTTGTAATGAAATGCTGGGGAATAAGAACAATAATGAAACACAGAAGCCCGAATCAATTGGAGAAAAAATGGACCTCCAGCAAACTGAGTTCAGACACCTTCGGAACATCAAATCACAAGAAGATATTATAGGATGCATTGTGGAAACAAAAGGCTTCAGTGAATCTCAGCCTGGAGAACCTTCCACAGAAACTGTGTTAAAATGCATTTCTAATACAGAGAATGGGACTCAATCAGCTGATGTGTTTTATGAAACAACTTGCAGCAATTCTTGTATGTTCACATCACAAGAAGTAAACTATCCCAATCCAAAACCTTTGGTTACAAACCAAAGCACTTCAGATATTGGCAAATCGGAGCTAGATGTGCTGCTTAATAGTAAGATTAGCAGCAAGATCCATTCTGAAGTTCTAAAAACATTTTTAGTTATTAATGAATCCAATAGTAGATCCGAAAAAGAAGAAACATATAATGCCTCAAGAGGGAAGACCATTGGTTCTGCTCGTGCTTCAGCAGAAATCAGTAAGAAAAATAAACCAAACACCTCATCTGATGTTATAAAAGCTGAAATCAATTACTTGTGCAGCCCAGCTGCTTCTGTTGCCAGGCCAGCTTCTAGAAGTAAAACTGAATTCTCAAGAGCCAGCTTTCAGCCAGTGGAAATTACAAAAAGTCCTTTAATTGTTGATAAGAATGAACATTTTACAGTTTACAGAGATCCAGCTTTGATCAACCCTAATACAGAAGCTAAACACATGTCTTTGTATTTGCATCCACACCTTCGTCCTCTACATACGTCGGCACAGACAACTTGCTTGACCACAAGTAATTCCCATCCAGCATTAGCAACTCCACATCATCAGTCAGGTTCCTCATCACAGTCGCCTGTTGCTCTTAACAATGCACCACACCATTCTGTACAGTCTTCTCACCTCCATCCTGCAGTTTTGCCTGGAGTTCCCTCAGCTTCTTTGCTATGCAGACATCTGGACCCTGTGCATACAAGGAATTTAACTCCCTTGGCACTAGCACACCACCAGCAACAATTTTTACAGCAACATTCACCTCAGCTTCTTGGCCAGGCACATCCATCTGCTCCTTATAATCAGCTTGGACTCTATCCCATAATCTGGCAGTATCCAAATGGCACTCATCTATCGTCAGGCCTCAACATGACCTCATCCAAGTGGGTCCATCCTGAAAATTCTATGAATTCTGAGGCTTCTTTGAGGAGGGTATGTACTTTTGCTGTACTTTGTGTAATATAAAGAAATGCTAGGGTTCGTCATTAGCTCGAATTAGTATTTGAATTATTTAAAGCAATAAAATGTGTTTATATAATAATCGTTCATTTGATATAGCGCCTTATCACGTCAATGTCTCAAAAGTGCTTTACAGGATTTACTATAAAAGTGGTTTAACTGTGTGTTTTGTGGGTGAAATGTGACAGCCAGTTTTGCACTCAGCAGTGTCCCACAAACAGCCATGGAGTGAGCAATCAATTTTATTTGGGGGATTGTTGGCCAGGACACCGGGAGAAACCTTTCACTTTTTGAATGGTGCCATGGTATCTTTAACATCCAGTTTATCGTTTCATCGAAGGATTGCACCTCTGCCAATGCAACACATGTCCCAACGTGGGGCTTGACTCCACAACCTTCTGACTCAGAGGCAAGAGTGCTATCACTGAGCCAGACTGACGCACCATTCATATTCGGAGGATGTCTCAAAGCACTTTGCACACATGCAGGGAGGGGGAGTTAGTGTGGGAAGGTGTGGTAGGGAGGGGCTGAAAGAGGGTGTGACCAAAAGAGTTGTCAAAGAGATAAGAAGCAGAATCCAACCTCAATGACTATTGAATATAATTATTTTTTTAAAGCCTCTGGATCAAATATATTATTTATGATATTGAGTTTCAATGTGCATAATCGCATTATATTTTACTGCCCATCTTGGGCAGAGGTGTGTAAGATTTTTTTAAGCTAATCTTATGCGATCTTGGGTGTACATTTCATATCTGTTCTGTTAATGTTGATTTGAACTTGCTTTAAAAATTGAGGGCCAGATCACATTTAACTGAGCAATTTACCATAACAATTGGAATGCACTGCTACTCACTAAAAAAGAATTGATAAACTCAAACATTGATATTGTCTTTCCTAATTACAGTGCTGGCATTGGTAGAACTTAAAGATTTCTAGGAAATGTATTCTTTTTAAATAAATAAAGGTTCCATTAACTTTCCATCTGAAAATAGAAGGTGCTGAACACTGGTTACTAAAATAAAATGTATTGCTAGAGATCTGATCTGGATGAGTCTACAAGCTGAGAGATGAAATGAAATGGCTTTTTAGGGAATTAAGTATTTAATTAAGCAATACTTTTTAATTTTTTTTTACCAGCTATACTGTTACCACATTATGTAAAAAATAAATGATGTGCACTCAAAACAATGTAACTTTAATTGGTATGATTATTTGTGTTTTGTAACAGAATACTTCCAGTCCTTGGCTACCTCAGCCCACCACTGTAACCTCAGCTGACAGCCTTGGCTTATTGAGCCACATTCCTGTATGTCCTGCCAGTGCTGATTCTCATCGACCCCTGAAATTGACCCAACATTCTAGTCCACCTTTGCTGAAGTCAGCTGTAGATCATCAGAAAGAGTAAGCATCCCATTCTGTCTCCATATGGTAACATTGTAGGAGAAGCACTAAAACGTAAAATAGGGAAGAACAGTACCTCAAATGATATCAGACTTCAGTGAATTATAGAGGAAGGTTGTCCTTCAAAGGTAATGCAACAGTAAGGTATAACAAGGGTGTGTTCTTTACTCTACATAATGGAAAGATGAGTTGTGATTAACCAGTTTTATAAAAACATATTTCATAATAGAAAAAAAGATACATTTAGTAAGTGCATTGTTATTTTGTGCATATTTTTGATATTTGTGTTCAGTTAAAATGAAGGTTTACAGAAATAATTTAACAGCAGATGTTTTCAAAAATATGTAGATTAATTATCTTCTATGATTATTTATAGCACTTATAGTATAGCAGATTAATAATGGGGAATGGAGATCAGGCAGCAGAATAGGAAAAAATGGATACTCTTCTCGAGAGCCAGTCAAGGCATGATGGGCCGAATGGCAGCCTCCTGTGTATTAAATGCCTACAGCTCTACTTACAACGATTGTCAAGTATTGTATTTTGATTTGATACACAACTCAAATATACATACTGCTATGTGACCCATTATCCTGAAATATCTTTATTTCCCCAATTTCATTCTCCATCTATAAGTTTTCCTTGAGAATAACAAAAAACTATTTTAACCTCCAATTGAATTGTTTCAAATCTCACCTTTACCAATGTATTCGTGTTTGTTTCCAGTTAACAGTTTTGTCATTTAGAAATACATTTTACTGATCCTAACCTAAAAATGGAGGCAGTGCTAATGTGTATTTGTCTCAAGATTCTGTTCAAACAAGTATTCAAAGGAAAATGTTCCAAGAATATGTCAACTCACCAAAATATTTCATGGAAATTGAATTAATTATCAAGACATAATATGTTTAAAACATTAACAAGTTTAACTCAGCCTTTTGTTTACCTCTTTTTGTGTAGGGAAATTGACAGTAAAACGTTCGCTGAACCATTATATTCTGTTGCACCTGTTCAAACGAAGCCTGATTTTGATCATGGCAGACCGTTGCATGGATTGGAAAGCCAGTTGCCTCGATGCTTTACAAACACTATCTTTAGTCAGGGTAAACAGAAAAGAACACCGCAAGAACAAAACAAATGTTACAATAAATACAAAGAAGAGAGCCGTAGGATTCTGCAGGAGAGCATAGAAGTCGCTCCCTTTGCAACCACTATCAAGGTAAATGAGTCAGTGAAAGATACTTGTTCCAGAATACCTTGTTTACCTACAGCTAGCCCCAAACCACAAAATATAAAACAAGAAAGAGAAACCCAGCATTGTGCAACAGAACTTTATACATTAAAGAATTCAATACCTCAGACTCTACCCCAGAGTAACTATTTTACCACCTTATCAAACAGTATTGTAAACGAACCACCTCGATTGTATCCATATAAGGAGACAGTAAATCCTTATTCTGAGAAGACTAATCCTTCAACGCCTTCTCATCTTTCATATAACAATAAGACTCTTTCAAAACCTCCCCCTCTTATTAAACACCAACCAGAGGGTGAAAGGTTACGAAGCAAAATTACGGAACAGCTTTCCCAGCAAGTGTCCTCTCAAACTGGAAAGATAAGTAATACAGACTACAAGAGAACCAGGGAACAGTTATCGGGTTCATCCACAACCTCCCACAGAATTATGCCATCTTTACACAGAGCACCGGTATATCTGCATTCATCTCAACACATTGCAGAGCGAAAAGAAGGGAACTATCGGAATCTGTCCCCACCAACTCTAACTCCAATACAACCTGTACATGCCGCTGTTAAGCTTTCAGAACTCCAGAAACCTCCAACTTTATTGCCAGAGCCAAGAGCAGATGTCAAAAATTACATGAATAATCCTGCATTAGCTTCCGCTGACATCTGGAAAAATGATGCAGTGAATCGTGGTAAGCGAGAATGTCATTCTGAGAACAGCAGCAAGGTTTTACAAGTAACCCAGGCATCTGTTATTGTGCGACCACCTTCTGCTATTAAGCAGGATAATCTACCAGAAATGCAATCAAACGCGAAAGAATCTGGAAGAGAGAGATCATTAACTTGGTCAAATCCAGTAAATTACCTCAAACCATCGGAAGTAAAAGAAGTGGGAAGAATAATTTTGCCCAATTTGAATTTGGACACTACTTGCACACAGTACGAAAAGAGCATCAAAGCTTTTCAACCATGCAACAGTTTGAATTCTTTGGCTGCTCCCAATTCCTTGTGCAATAGCAGAACTGACTTGTTCACTTCCGTAACCCAAGCAACGAACAATGTAAGTGGTAATGATGGAACAGCAGTTGCCAATTCTTCATCTTCTACCACAGTGACTAACAATGTGCCAGAGAATACTGCTCCGAGAACTTCAGCTCATTCGGGGATACAAACCCAGGAATGCAAAGTTAATATCACATCCTCTGCAGCTTTTGTAACTACTAGTACCAGAACAGGAAGCACTACACAGAATAACGCAAGCCTCTCAAGTACAACTGATTATTACCAGCTGAAGAAGCACAAGGCAGCCCTGGCAATGGCTCATTCCGGAACCACTAATGCTAATAACAATGAGCATGCAAGCCTTAAAAGTGAAAAAAGTTCAACATGTCTCTCTCCTAATAGCAATGGAACAGCCAATGTCTCACACAAAGTAAATTCTATCACCAATGGCCAAACAGTTCAATCAAGTCAACCTAGTTATCACACAAAGCTTAAGAAAGCCTGGCTAACCAGACATTCGGAAGAAGACAAAAACACAAAGAAAACAGAAACTTCTGAGAAAGACACGAGCACAGTAATTTCAGTTTGTTCATTAGCCTCTAGTTCAGATGATAAAGAAAAAATAGATCAATCTCAGGAAGAGAAAACTGAGCAGGAAGAACCGAAGATGAGAAGAGGAACAAAACGAGTTTACGAATCTGGATCTGAAAGTGATGCTTCAGATGAGAGTGAAAGTAAATCAGATCACAGGGTCAAACGTCAACCTAAACCAACCTACAAAAAGAGACAAAATGATTTACAAAAGAGGAAGGGTGATATTGAGAAGGATGAAGAAGAAATTAAACCTAATGGTACTTTGTGTAAGATTACAAAGGAAAAGAATAAAAGTAAACTTCAGAGTGGTAAGTACTATATTTCAGTTAAATTGTCTAACTTATCCATATGATCTGCGTGCTAGATTTATATTTATTGCTACAAGGGCGCAGGGTGGAAGAAATGAGGGAGAGAGTTCCAAAGTTTCATCGGGCAGTAGCTGAAAGCACGGCAGCCAATGGTAGAGGGAACGAGGGACAGGCAAGAGGCCAGAGCCATCTGAGTGGAGGTGATGGGTGGTGTAGTCGGGATTAAGTAGGTCAGAGAGGTAGGGAGGTGCTGGGGCGAGAAGGAGTTTGTTGACTCGTGGGATTTCGAGAGATTTGTTTCTTGATGGTTACTGCTAATGTTGCTTAGATATTGAAAATGAAAAGATAACTGTCCAATACCAGGAAAGAATATGGACATATTGTTACAAGCCTGTAGCTTAGCTGGAAGATTTGCCAAACAGCTGTGAGTGCCCCTCCCATTTCTTACACTTTTCGCAGGAGTTATTGGCAGCATCATTATCTTGTGGAAGCAGAAGTTATCTTTGCCCCGCCTCCACATGCCATGTGTTTTGTTTTTTGGCTTGCAGAATGTTTTGAAAACCTGTTTACAGGTCTTTGCCAGTACTGCCCTATAACCAGCTGTTACGATTCTATGAAGTCTTTCAGTGGAGCTCAACAAGACTTGATAATTTTTAGGAGGCTGTCAGCTACGAGAAAAGTAATACTAATGTTTCTGACTAACAGGCATATAAGTTGATCTCATCTTTCCCTTTTTCCTGTTTCCATTGTATGCATTGGACTGTGCTTTCCTCATGTCTAAAATCTTCTGTTGCTGGCAAACAAAAAGCTGAAGATGTCAAGAAATAAGCTCACGCTTATCAGTGTACAATATCTCTTAGTTGGCAGTCTTGCTTAGCATAAGGAAATGTTTAGTCATGGTAGTAATTGACACCACTACAACAGATGCTATTCGTTCCTCTGATTCCTGAGGTCCCCAAACTTAAGAAGGAAGAACCAAACTCTAGTGGTTTTAGATATACTTTGTTGTCTTTTTTGAATTCACCCTCTTCCTGTCAAATGTGTTATTTGTTTATAAATGAGAATTCTGGCATCTAGGTTCAGAAAATGGTTAGCTGAATTTCTTAAGGCCTGAAATTTTACTTGGCCCAAAAGATCATTTTCTTTTAAATTTAAGATCACACAGAATTATAAAAAGTATTTTAAAATTCAGACAACCAAATTACAGTTGTATAGCGCCTTTCACGTCGAGAGGACGTCCAAAGGAGCTAGACAGTCAGTGTTTCGGACCCGAGCTGGGGGTCGGGATTGGGGAAGGTGGAGGGCAGGGGGAAAAAGCAGGGTGATCGAAAGCACGGTTGAAGAGGAAAGTCTTGAGATGGGTCTTGAAGGAGGCAAGGGGCTGGGGCGAGGCGGAGGGACTGCGGGATGGAGTTCCAGAGGGTGGGGACAGAGTGGCAGAAGCCAATTTGTTTTTAGCAATTCAGAAAAACAGCTGCCCAATGAATCTTCATTAATTCCTACACCCTCTCAGACCTCTTGCATTCTGTTGCTCAGGTCTTGAGGCTCTGATTTGAATAAACTACTATTTTTCTCATTTGCGCAGTTTAAACCACAGATAGGATATTTGTTGTTATCTCATAGACTCAAAAACTTGGGACACCATGTTTAAGAAAATAGCTGGATTGCTTTTATAAAGCTTGTTCATTTTGGTCAAAATATCTTAAGAGACCTTTAATTTTTGCTAAAAGGTAACATGACTAAGATTTTTAGAAGTTAGATTGATTCAAGGAATCAAAAGAATGAACTTAAAATACATTACTCACCTTTAGGAGAAATTAAATTTGAGGAAATATTTGGTTAAGATGCAGTCTACAAACAGCATATGTTATTTTGCAGATGGTTTACCGCGATCAGTGTTGAAGGACTGGCGGAAAGTTAAGAAGCTGAAGCAGACTGGAGAATCTTTTCTGCAAGATGGTTCATGCTCTCAAATAGCACCAAACCTGCAGAAGTGTCGGGAATGTCGAATGGTTCGCTATCGGAAGAATGAGGAAATTAGTCTGTCAGCTGTGTTCTGCAGATTTTATTATTTCCGCCGGTATGCACACATGAGTTACAGATAGTTTGTCAAGAATATTGTAGATCTTTTGAAACCAGAACATATTATTAATAATAATGATCCTTACATATGTCCTTATGTTCACGTCAGGCAGATGTGACAAACCTTCAAAGGATATACTGTCAAGTGGTGTGACTGTGTCTTTTGTGGGTGACATAGCCTTCAAGTATTATAACATCTCGGAAAATATAGCAAACCGAAGAATAGTTTCTTGCATTCACGTTCCTCCTCCTTCAATAGGAAAAAAGGAAAACTCTGAATGCTGGAAATCTGAAATTAAAAACAGAAATTATTTCAGTTCACATTAGGTCAGTCAGCCTTTGATAGGAAAATTAGGTAAACATTTTGGGTATGACCCTTCATCAGAACTCATGGTGAAAAGTTAAAAATAATATTTTCTCTTTCATATTATTCCCTTATACTGCCATGTTCTAAGCTTAAAAAAACAATTGCTCTCTGCTATTTCATTACACTGATTCATATGTACAAACATTTAGTAGACTTTGTAAATGTAACAACAATCTGTTGGTAACCTTTATTTGGTATATGATTTTTGTATGCGGTAACTTTTCACAAGGATACAAATAAAAGAAACAAACTACTTTTTTGAAAGAAAATATCAATAATATGGTGGAGCTCTATAGTTGGATTCCATCTCACTCAGCGGTATAATGAGGCTCGATCACCAATCAGGGCTTTTGCATCGATTGCATGTGTTCAGAAAGCCAACTAGCTTCATAGGCAATTTGAAACACAAGCTGATGCACAGGAAAGCAAAATGACTGTGACTAATACACTATGTTAAGAGGGCATCCAAGTATAGGACTTCTAGGCAGTAAGATCAACCAATTAGTTTTTTTTACAATGATTTTCAGATGTAATCTTGATTTATGGGCCTAAGAATATCACAAATGTTGTAAAATTTAATAAAGATGTGCAATTTTTCCCGTTTGGTGATGTGGTTCAGGATCCAGTACGATATTGAATTTATATGGTCACTTTTATACACTCTTCAGTTTTATTTATTAAAATGTTCTGCTCATATTTTCATTAGATCCAAAATATATTGTGAAAATAATTGAATTAGATAAAATAATTGTGCCCATCAAGTATGTACAGCCAGTTCTAATAAAATAAATACTGAATATATTGATGTTACGAAGGAACATCTGTGATAATTGAAGGCAAAACACCTTGTTCTTACAATTCTATTACCTTGACACAACGACAAAGCAAATTTAAATTTTCTTTACTATTTTCACAGACTGGCATTTAGTAAGAATGCAGTATTAAGGACAGATGGATTTTCCACTCCAGAACAGTATGATGAAGAAGCAATAAACTTGTGGCTATCTAATGATTCTACAGATGTGGAATTGGACATAGAAACCTCCAAGTACATTTTGAGCAATATTGGGGATAAATTCTGCCAAATTGAGACATCTGAGAAGGCTGCTATATCTTGGCTTGAACCAGATGGTAAGAAATGACCTTTGTCGACACTGAGTTATTCATATATAATAAACAATGTATGTACATCATAAATTAATTGCTTTAATGAAGTATGATTGTTAAATGTTCATACTATAATTTTGCATACTGCAACCTGAAATTAGTGAGGTATTTTTGAAAGCAGATTTGTTTGAAGGAAATTTTAGTAATATTCTCTTAGTTGCCACAAGTGGCACAAGTGAATACTATGTTGCCACTTGTTGCAAGTGGCAACATAGTATTCTCAAATGAGTAAGTATTTTTAACAAAAGAAATCATGGATAAGTTACCACCATATACAAATCATGCTGTTTGGTGACCTTTACAGAACATGGTCAGAACTGATGAACTTTTCCCTATAAAATGAAAGTTTCAATGTGTGGTAACAGTGTTTGTTTTGCATTTCAGCCAAAATAGCCTGGAAAAGAGCTGTAAAAGGAGTTCAGGAAATGTGTGATGCATGTGAAGCCACATTGTTTAACATCCATTGGGTCTGCCAGAAATGTGGATTTGTGGTCTGCCTGGACTGCTATAAGGCAAGGGAAAGCAATGGTTCCAAAGGTCAGTTTCTGAATTGATTTATGGTTTGAAAAATGCAGGAAATGCACAATGGCAGTTTCAGTTACTTTTCAATCTATACTAGTTTCTTCCATACTGAGAAATCATTCCATGGGATTATGCTATGTTATGAGTTCACAAAAGGTTGTGACATTGGTGTGATTTTATGAAAATTATATAAAGATGTGTGAAAACACTTCAATGGAACTTATTTATCCGTGCATGGAGGTGGCAGAAACGTAATGTTGTAAATTGAGCTATGGGCTTTACATTGGAACTTGCCAGATCCAGAAAGTGAAGCATTTTATAGAAAAGTAGCTTTTAGCTTTGCTTTTTTTTTTGTTCCTCATCCTTTCACAGTGTTATGCTGTTATTTTCAGAATCTGCGTATGCCCTAGCAATGAAATGTTAAGTCAAACAGAAATTAGGTGGTATAATTGGATGCATATGCTGTAAGCATTTGTGAATATTTTGAAAACCTCTTTCTGCATTCATCATCTAGTCTCCAGCAGCAATGTCCCTCTGCTGCTATTAAAAATCAGCTGGGGCTTCCACTTCTGTTTATCTAATAACCCTTGTGCATGTGTAGAAAAGGGATTGGCCTTGACTTTGTGCATCCCACAATCACACGCTTAGACAGGGCACTTTGACATAGCTGTTGGAGCATTGCCAGTGCCTGAGGAAATATATCTCAACATTGAATGATCATTTTTCACAAGAGGAGGGAAGAAATTAGAAGACTTTTTTAAAAAAACAAAAGGCCCATATTGTAAACAGATTTAATTTTTCAGGCTCTCCCTAGTGATTTCCTCTCAAATCTGGCTTCATGTTTGTGGATATTACCCACATTTCCAGTACCAAAGATCAGGATGATAAAGTTCATGCTTGAGTGGCTGGAAGAGGTTATTTGGAGTAAGATTGCTGAGGCAGCAGTGTCTGCTTTGACTTTGACTGCCAAGTTTCTCCTACTTGTGCACATAGTGACTGGTGGAAGATGAGTCAAAGTAATGAAATGAAAAGCACGAGTAATCTAAGGTTCACGTTTTCACTGGTTGGTGAACCTTCCAACCTTGGTGATTTGAGCTAATGGGGAATTTTCTGGGCAGTCAAATTAGTTGTTAGTATCATTTTTTTGAAAAAGGCTTATAATTTTCCCTTTTTTAATTTGTGTTTTTCAGAAATTAAAGACCTTTATGTCTGGCTAAAATGTGTCAAAGGCCAAGTTCATGATGCAAAGAGTCTAATGCCCACACAAATTATTCCTGGCAGTGGTAAGTCTGTGGTTTTGATTTAATTTGGGCTTTTATTCTGTAATGAGTAGAAACATATTGAAATGTTTTTATATTGTATGGAATACTATTTCTTATAAAGATTTTTTTTGTTTCTTATTGAACCTTTATTTAATTTGTACATTTCTAATCTCTAACATATCATCCAAATAAACCCCATGTGTTTTTAGTCCTGCACTGATGGATTCTGAGTAACATAGAAAACAGTTTTGAAAAATAAAGAGAAAAAATACCACTTTTGGGTGTTATGGTATGCCTAACCAGTATTTATTTACATTGCACATGAAAGTATTGTTGGTACTACAGTAAAACTTGCATAAATCTTAACTTTAACTTAATAAATTGTATAATCGCCAAAGTCATACATTCACTTGAGTCCCATTCAGTTTCCTATCAAAACCACTTCGATTTCTTTGCACTAGTCATATTAATCATCTCCTAACTCGTAACCCCCCTCCATTACTCATGCACTTACTGAATTGCATTGAATTGCGAGAAATATAGTCTTGATCCATCTTGGTGCGTAGAAGAACTTCATTTCCCGAGATTCAATATGAATTCAATGCTTGGCAGTAAGTACTGCACATGTGGCGACAGATCAATACAACAACAAAATTACATTTGTACAGCACCTTTCACTTTTGGAGGATGTCCCAAGGTGCTGGAATAAGCATTGAGTCGCAGGAAACAAAGTCTTGAGCCTTCACTGCATGTACACTTACTGGCTACATTCACGAAACATCACATGTGCACTCACCAGTTGCATTGAATTACACATGTGCAGTGTTGATTAATGACTAAATCAGACTTTCTACGGCTTGTCCAGTTTGCCTGCAACTTGGACTTTGGTGATGTCATATTAAATGGTCCCGACTGATGCGACTTATGAGTTTTACTGTATTTATATTAGAAATTGTAATAGTTTTGCATAAAGTTTCTGAACAAGGTGGTACAAGTTATTTTCAATATATTGATTTCAGCCTATTTTACTCTGATGTCCAGGTCTTTTCTGTTGTGTAAAGCATGTTTTTTCCATGAATTGTCTATTTTAGTCTTGGCCGACATTAGCGATATGATGAATACCTTCAGAAACAAGTGGGAAATCATTACACGTACTAATGAACAAAATATCCAGCTTGTCAAACTCTCAACAAGTAACGGAATTTCACAGGTACAGTGGAAATTAGACCTTTAGTATATCCTTAGAATAGCTTTTTACTATACATGTGCAATGCCATGTTTGCTGATAGAACGTTAAATTTTGTTCAAACTAAATTTGCATAAACCCTTAGAATAGCTTTTTACTATACGTGTGCAATGACATGTTTGCTGATAGAACATTAAATTTTGTTCAAAATAAATTTGCATAAAACCAAGAATAGTCAAATAAAATAATTTAGAAGTTAAGCATTCATATTATTGTAATGTTACGATTTGTTGAATATAAATGTACTCAATATAAAAATGTCTAGTTAAATTGATTTACTTGCAACTTTGTGAATATGGGAGAAGGTAGAGAAGCTTGTGGTAATAATTCTGTGAACTCAGTAATAATTTGAAGGTTCCAGCAATTATAATTGAGGGGATAATTATGTGGATCCAAAGTAGATACTTAGCTCAAGGTGACACATTAGATGGTGAGCAGTTTCATTTTATTGACCAACTGGGGCAATTAAAACGTAAAGCGAATGCACAAGTAGGAGCATTTACACAAATATTGACCTTTGCCACAAAAATAGAGATAGCTACTTGGAAAATGCTGGTATATGGTAGTCTGCTAGAAATGTTTACTGGAACCATAGAAGTGGATCCTATGATTATTTTCCTTTAGATAGATTTGATAAAATAGCTACATTGAACAATTAAAATATAGATCTGGAAACAAAGACTGGACACGTTCAAGATTCAGTTAGGCTGACTTTGGAGTCTGGGATCAATAAACTAATGTCGAAGAAACAAAAGTTAAGTATCTACAGTGTGCTGCCAGGTTTATGTCAGTTTAAGCCTAGGGCGGATTACTGAAGAAATCTGTTGTCTCTTAGCTTTTTTAAAAAAATATATTTTTGCATGAGTCAGTGAGTTTCAAATTGTTATTTATACAACAGGTTCTACAGAGTGTTCTAAATCACAACACAAACATCTCAGCAACAAAGCAAAACAGTACTTCTGAGAAGCTAGACACTAATGGCAGTTCCACCAGCCCCGTGAACGAAGTCACCATTGAAAGTAAGTTTGTAACTGGTTCTTAGCCTTTTTAGTAAGTTTGTAACTGATTCTGATTCTTAAGGAGACTGTAATTCACATACTAAGGCAGATGGCAGTGGGGAAGTTGATATGTGGACATTGATGGCATTCCCTGTAGTTTCTTTTACATGATTTTTACATTTTAACCAAAACAAAAATCACGAAAAGAAAACTGGAGGGCACACATTACAGCATTTTTGTTTCTTTTGATTTGGTTATAGAAACAAAAGAAGTATCTCTCCCGAAGACGGTGAAGATTGAACTAAATCAAGCAGACAATGCTGATTCACTGAATTGCAAAGCTTCACCTGTCTGTCTCAGCAGCGAGCGGGGTTCAACCTTACGGGATTTACTGACCACAACAGCTGGCAAATTGCGATTAGGTTCAACCAATGCTGGCATTGCATTTGCCCCAGTGTTTTCTGCAGGAACACCTGTAAGTACTGAATAGATCTTAAGTTAGCGTTTAATGGTACAGTATTGATTTTTATTATTTAAAATAAAATAGTTACCTGTAAAATTGAGTAACCATCAGTTCCCTTTGTTACAAATGTGAAAGCATATTGGACTTATTCATGTTTTGATGCTATCTTGACCAATTGGATTTGAAGTTTTCTGAAGTTCTTCCGGTTTAACAAATTCTAAGAGTCATTTGAGTTGATAGATTAGTACTATTCTGCATTAGTTGAAATAATCTACTTAACACTCAATAGCCAATGCTGCCTTTATCATAATTAAAGATGTTTAAGAATACATACCAGATTTTTTGTTTAACTCAAAAGCATTACTAAATTATTTATGGCATAATTGCTTTATAGTCTTGATGTGCATTTGATAACATTACCTGTGTTTGTTTCTTTTTAGACTGGCAGAGGTGCAAGGAATGTGCCAAACATCTTAGATGATATCATTGCATCAGTAGTAGAAAATAAGATCCCACCAAGTAAAACTCTTAAGCTAAGTGGAAAAGAAGAAACAAAAGAGAATGACCAAGGAGGAATTAAAAATCTCAATTTAGATGAGGTTAGCAAAACTCATGCTGCAATTCCACATTCTTGGCTCTGTGATGGGCGCCTGTTATGGCTACAAGATCCGAGAAACCACAGAAACTGGAGGATATTCAGGGAATGCTGGAGACGAGAACAGGTCAGCATAAAATCAGAAAATTATTGTGAATGGATAGATAATGCTTTGGATTTGTAATTGTTTGATGGCTTAACTCTAGTATTATGAGACCATTAAAACCATGCTAATGTGCTACTAAATGAAAATACTCATTGATGTTTGAGAATTGTTCCCTGCTCTTTCCTAACAACAGTTATTTAGATAAATGAACATGATATAATATAAACTTACCACAAACAATACTCTATTTGTGTTGATTAATTGCCTCCAAAGTATTTTTGATATGTTTATTTAAAAATCTTGTTCCTTTTCCCTTCTGCCCTCCCTGTGCTTTATTTAAACCAAATATTGTGATCTGTTTCAGCCTGTTTTGGTGTCGAGTGTGCACAAAAATCTAAATTCCAACATATGGAAACCTGAAAGTTTTAGGCAAGAATTTGGAGAGCAGAAGGGTGACCTCATTAACTGCAAAGATGGTACTTTAATTTCCAATATCAAAATCCAAGACTTCTGGGATGGTTTTGAAGATTCAGCAAGTACGTATTTTTCATATGACTGGGTTATTGCCACTATGTAAGCTGAAATGATCATTGGCCAGAATACTGCTGATTTAGAATCTTGGTATTGCTTGGCACAACTATTTCATGGTTAATAATTCATGGGGGGAAATATAAATTACATATTCAAACATCATTTAAACATCTTTACAAGGCCAGTATAATTCATCCTCTAAGTTTGTACATTTGCTTATCTTTCCATTCTATCTTTATAGAACGATTGAAGACCAAGACTGGTGAAGTTATGTTACTGAAGCTGAAGGATTGGCTTTCTGGCGAAGAGTTAAGAACCATGATGCCTTCAAGGTAAAAGATAACATACAGTTAAAAATGAATGTGTGTTGTGTTTTCTTTTTAATTGGCCTTATTGGCTGAAACGCTGCTTTGAATTATGTACAAACATACCATTCTCCAAAAGAGTGCGTGACAAATATATTCCTAGACCTCTGTCCATACCACTGGATCAGGAAAAGGCCCACCAGTCAAATTCTCCCTCCATCTCTCCTTTTATCGAGAACAATATCTAGTATTTTGAATCCACTTATCCTATCTACTTCAGTTGCCTTTCCTGGTAATTATTTCACTAATCAAATGGTTGTGACTAAATTCCCTATTTATTTCTGTTCTAATTCTTTCCCCAAGTTTTTTTTTAACCATGGCTAATACCATCTTTATCCTAATTTTTCCATCATAATTTTGGAAACTTATTAAGTCGCCTTAAGTGTATTTTCCAGTGAATAACTATTATTAAAGATCTATAAATCTGATATTTACACCTCAAACATTATTTTCTTTTAGGTATGATGATTTAATGAGAAATTTACCACTGCCAGAGTATTGTGATCCAGAAGGAAATCTGAATTTAGCTTCCCGGTTACCAAATTTCTTTGTGCGGCCAGATTTAGGGCCCAGATTGAACTGTGCATTTGGTATGTATAAAACACATTGTTTTATCAAAAATAATATCTGTTTTTATATGGATGGAAAAGACTAATTTGTAAATAATTAAATCACAGGACAGACCACAGCTAAAGACTATGGAACTACCAACCTCCACCTAGATATTGCCGACGTTGTCAATATTCTTGTCTATGTTAGTGTACCAAAAGGAAGTGGCAACAGTCATAAAACAGGTAAAGTTTTTAAAGTTTTATCTAGATGCTTTAATAATGCAAGTATTATTATTACTATTATTATCCAAATCAGTTGACTTTTAGGATTTATGAAGTTTGTAGCTGTTTTATCAATCTATAATTTAGACTGAAGCTATTAAAATTACAGTAACCAAAAATTACAGAACTGGTGTCTATCATGGCAGTAAAACTATATTTTAGCGTGGAAATAGAAGTTTCTGTATTTTAAAGGCCATCGTAAAAGAACAAGACTGTACGAATACTTGAAAAATTTATGAAAAGTAACTGACAATGTTTACAGAATTTACCTTCTGTTTACCTTGGAGCTTACCTCCCTCCCTCCCTCCACCGACCCCCCACCCCACACACACACACACACACACACACACACAGCACAGAAATTCAATGTTAGTAAATTGAAAACATGGAAACAAAAAACCTTAGCTTGATATGTATCGAAATGTTTATTACCATAAATTCTAGGGCCATCGGCAGATAAAACTTGATATTTATAAAATCAAATCGGGAAGCACAAGTGTAAATGAACAAGAGTAAAATAGTATTCTGATAAACCAAATAAAATTAAATATCTTCTACAAGATCAAATAATTTTAGATCAACTTTTGACATTTGTATTTATAGTATTAGTTGCTGGATGTAAGTTTTTGAATATTAGTTTCAAGATCATGATCAATTATGGTAAACTAAAATTATATAACTAACAGGCTATGATTAAACTTAAACTTGTCCAGATTCTGGACTGCAGCATTAACAATGGTGGACTTGTATTTTTCAGCCATTTGGAAGAGAATTGAGGAAGAAGAAATGGATGAAAATACAAAGAAAAGGTTGAAGGACTGTGGTGAAATCCCAGGTGCTTTATGGCATATTTACTCAGCCAACGATGCAAAGAAAATAAGGGAGCTTCTACAAAAGGTGAGACGCTAGTTTATGACATTTATAGAAATTAACTGTTACCAAATATGCCATTACCTTCAGTGGATGATTTTTAAAATAATTTAAACCAATTAAACTCTTGTAGTTATCTGCATCAGTGGAGCATTTTAAACTGGGACACATAGATGGTTGTGTCTCGAGTGATGTAGGTAGAAAAGTCTACCTCTTTGACGACATCTATGGTCAACTCCTCTCACCCTTTTCCAACCTTGCTACTGTGCAGTCCTCCAAAACTATCCTGACACTATGATGGGCAATATATAAAAACAAATTATTGTTGTTGTACAAATTAAATTTTAATTGGTTTTAATTAAAATAAAGGAACAGAAAATACTGAGACTTCTTAAGCATAGATGCCAAGAAGTATTTACTTTCTCAGAAGTTAACAAACGATTGGAATTAGTTACCAGAAACTGGAGGCTGAGGCCAGAAAACTGGCTCATTTAAGATTAGGAAGATGGTAGAGTTTGTATTTTGGAGAGATGAGAACAAGGGGCTGAAGGGACTTTCAAAACTCTGTTGTTGTGATGTCTGATTAAATATTGTATCTTTACTAGCAGATACTTTTTATTTTAGTATTATCTATGTGGAGTCCTGTAGCTCAGTGGTTAGAGCACTCGCTTTGCAAGTGAGAGACCTGAGTTCAATTCCAGGCAGAGGGCGAAACCTTGGGCAAGTTTCCTTACTCCACACGCCTAATAATAATCCCTCCAAAACCAAAACCAATAATAAATTGGTCATTTTCAATCTACGACTGTTTGTGGGACATTGCTGTGCGCAATTGGCTGCTGCGTTCGCCCATAAATATACAGTCAATTCACTTTACAGTATGTTCTGTGAAGCGCTTTGGGACATCCTCCTGACGTGAAAAGCGCTATATCAAATACAAGGATTATTATTATTAGTTTCAAGCAATCAAGTAATCATTTCTTATGGAATGTGCTGCAACCCAAAATCATTTTCTTTCCACTGGAAAGATTAATAATTGAGACACCGGTTTATAGCTATGTAGATATGCAACGCATGAATAATGAAAAATTGTTCCATTTTTTGTGCCTCTCTCACAAAGGAACGGGGCCAAGAATCAGTTGAACGTGATCCAATCCGTGATCAGAGCTGCTATTTGAACAAGAAATTGCGTTGGAAGCTTTATGAAGAATATAGAATACAGAGTTGGACCATCTTTCAGTTCTTAGGTGATGCAATCTTCATACCAGCAGGGGCGTTGCGTCAGGTAAAGCATGATGTTTTAGAGCTGACTATTTCAGTTTCATTTGTCCTGTTTGTTCATCCTTTGAGAGTGCAATTGATGTGCACCATCTTCCAGCATAAGTCTCGCACAAAAGATCACAAGAGAATTGGAATGAAGGAAGTCCTTTGATCCATTTGATCAAAGAATATCATCCTGACTATTTTCCCATTACAGAATTAAACTATTTATTAAATAAATAGCATCATCCACCCTTTTTGGTAACCCGATCCAACCATTAATTACTTTATATTTTTCCTTCTTCCTGTTATTTTCTTCCTCTTTGTTTTTTGAAATATTACTTTATTTCCCTGTGAATTTAAATATTATATGCAAGGTGTTTTAGTCAATATTCCTCCCTAATCCAAATTAATTTCCAAAAAATAAAATTAATTTGATTCCTAATTGTTCTTGGGATGTGCAGATTGACTCCCAAGTTTCCAATTTAGCAGTGTTTTATATAAAATTAAATATTTATTTCCAGACCTCATTTTTTTTATTTGAGTCATTTATTGAGTCATCTCTTAAACTCCTTGTCTCAATCCCTCTGCCTCACCTCTTCTCCATCTATCTTTAAATCCTACCCGAAGACCTAAAATGTCAAAGCCTTAATACCTTGATACCATTTTAACATAACACATCTAAAGTACTGATTGTGGCCATGCACGTTTTATTTGCTTTTCGATTCTTTTCAAAATTTATGATAAACTATTAAATCATTATGTATTTTGCGTTCATTGAACAAGGATTGATTGCTCTGTTTTGCAGGTGCAAAATATTTACAATTGTATTCAAGTCTCTGAAGAATTTGTGTCACCAGAACATGTAGTACACTCTTTCCATCTTACCCAGGAACTGAGACATCAATCAAACCAAGAGATTAATTATGAGGATAAACTGCAGGTATGGATTTGAACCAGGCCAGCTTCCACTACGTGGAATAAAATTCCTGCTTCTTGAACATGCAGTGCCTCCTGCAATGAGACAGTGAGCCAATGGTTCTACTTGTACAGGCTATATAAATACTTAAATAATATGCATAATTTTTTTTACAATTTTTAGAGAGGAAATCTTCCAAGAAAGTAAGTGTGCAAAAGTTCAGTAGTAAGCATAGAAACAGAGAAACAGGAGTAAGGCATTCAGCCCATTGAACCTGTTCTGCCATTCCCTAAGATAAAGGCTGATCTGTACCTGAACTCCAATTAACTGCCTTTGCCCCATGTCCCTTGATACCCGGACCTAACAAATATCTATCCATCTCAGTCATGAGCTCAGCGCTCAGCCCACGAGGGTCTCATTGTTGTTGCTTTGTGGATTTGTCATTGCACATTGGAAGTTTTTTTTATATTCTCAGCACCGTTCAAAGGTATCTCCTGCCACAATCCAAACAATTTTCTATGACTTGAACCACAAGAACATTGTTTGTAATTAGAGCTCTTGACTTCCAAGATATAAAAAAAACATGCATATTGTTATTTTAAAGCCATGATTACAGTCAAAAATAATTCAGTTTAATGGCACAGAAGTGGAGGCAGAGAAAATGTTGCTTTTGGTGCATACATCTTTTTTTACTAGTTTGTTGCTCACAGTGCAACATCACCACCTGTTGGTGATAAACTACTTCTGTGAAGTATTCCTCTTCACGGTATTTTAAATGTTAAATTAGAAAGTGTTGAAAATTTAAGAGAAGAAAATTACTAGATTGTAATAATATTTTTATTATTTTTGAGGAGGTGGGTAGGTGACCTATTCACAAGCCTCTGCAGAAGCTAGTCGGTGGGAAGCAAATTATTTTCTTTTCAACTTTTTAATCATATCTTATGGATTATTGTTGTGTAGCGTATTTTTCAGCAAAGCAGTTTCTATAACTCAAATTTGTGTAATTGTAATTCTGTATGAAAAGTATAATTTTATTATATACAAAATATAAAACTTATTTTGTGGACAGTAATTCATTCTGTTAATATTTTCATTTCTTTGCAGGTAAAAAATATAATTTACCATTCAATTAAAGATGCTGTGGTAACCCTGAAGATGCATGAAGAAAAGATGTCAAATGCACAAAATTCTTAATATTTTTGCAGTTTCATGATTCTACAACGCTGACCATATTAAGACAAATATAGCTGTTACATAGTCACTGTTCAAAACCACAAATCTATAGTGCCAAGGAAATTTCAAATGATGTCATTGGAAGTCATGGCTGTTGTATTAAATTACCCAATCTCAAATTAATGCGATTACAAAGAAAATAATTTTAGCTTATGATAATCTACAGGAAAATAGCACCGTGTTGTTCCATGTATTATATTGTACATTGTGAAAATGACAGATATATTTATTTTTCAAAACAAAATGCTACAAAATTTTATGCCATATTATAGATCAATGTGACTTGTACAGTTTAGTTTGCTACAATTAATATTTTTCACTACATTGAGACAGTTACTGTGAGAAGGTAAACACAGCTACCATCTATGCCTAATTCTTTTATTGGTGAAGCGCACAGCTGTTCATGTCATATCTTAACACGCTGACAAATAACTAAACATTCTGAAGATCCACATAATACAGAAATGACAATGGATATATTATACAGAGACATCAGCATTTTATTAAGTATTCATTGTAAAATTTAAACATTTACTAAGTTGTAATTTATTCAGAAATATTGTCTTGTTAAATTTGTTATGGTGAACTTTTGGAAGCAAATGACTATTACCAAGAAAGTTAATATTCTGTGTAAATACTTATAAATATATACATTCAATGATGTATTTTTTTAAAACAGTTTGCTTTGGTTTGTTATTAAAGTGCAAGTGTTATATGCTTTGTACATTGGAGTTGAAAAGGGTTTTACATTTTCCATTAAAATAGATTTATCAAATATGTATTTGCTTTTAAATTTGTTGTGTGTGCGCATTATTGTCTGGATGTTTGCCCCATTTGTAGTATCACGTCCAATTTTTGCTAGATGTTTTTTTTTCCCCGTTTCCTTTCAAGAATGCACCAATTGACATTTTCACTACTTGATTAAGTTGTTGTAAAGTGAAGACGGAAAAATCAGCCTATCAAGATCTCCCCAGTCCGTCCACCGGTACCTTATCCAGATCTGAATCTGATCAAACCTGGGTTGGGGGTGCAGCTTGAGCACGTGCCAGATTCGAGACTTGAGATGGATCAGGAAGGCGGTTCAAGCTGGGGAGTTGGGCAGGGAAAGATTGGCAGTTGAGCCTGGGGCTGGGTCAGGGTTGAGGGGGGTGTGGAGAGTGATCCAGAGACTGGCACGGGGTTCCGGGAGTGAGCTACTGTGGTGGTGAGCTCGAGCCGGGAAGCTTGAGCTGCGTAGAGGGTGAGTCGGATGTAGATGGTGGGGAGTTCGTGCCAGGTCGGAGAGGCAGTGTTGCCAGATTGGACGGGTTTACTCCCAGGTGGGCTTATTTTTATTTTAAACGTGCGTTTTATTTTAAATAGGCGGGTGCCTGATTATTGAGCCGGTCTGGGCTAATGTTTGTCATTTGTCATCCTATCCCTAAAACCAACCACCTGCTCCCTTGACCCCATCCCCACTCCACTCCTTATCTCCCAGCTCCATTTTCTTGCCCCACACATCACTGACATCATAAACCTGTCCCTCTCCTCTGGCTCTGTCCCCATTCCATTAAAAACTGCCATCATCACACCCACCCTGAAAAAACCCTCCCTTGATGCGTCGCAGCTATCAAGCTACCGGCCCATCTCCAACCTCCCCTTTCTCTCCAAGGTCTTGGAAAGAGTTGTCGCCTCCCAACTGCGCTCTTTCCTTTCCACCCATTCTCTTTTTGAACCCCTTCAGTCAGGTTTCCGTGCTGCTCATAGCACAGAAACTGCCCTGGTCAAGGTCACCAATGATATCCTGACCATCTGTGACCAGGGCTCCCTCTGTCTCCTCGTCCTCCTCGACCTATCGGCAGCATTCGATACGGTCGACCACGCTATCCTACTCCACCGCTTGTCCTCCCACCTCAACCTTCAAGGCACTGTCCTTGAATGGTTTAGCTCTTACCTTTCCCACCGTCTTCACTTCGTCTCAACGAATGGCTTCTCCTCCACCCCCCGTACTGTCTCATGTGGTGTCCCTCAGGGCTCTGTCCTCGGTCCCCTCCTCTTCACCCTCTATATGCTCCCCCTCGGTGACATCATCCGCAAACATGGGGTTAACTTCCACATGTATGCGGATGACACCCAACTCTACCTTTCCTCCTCTACTCTCAACTCCACGACCACCGATGTCCTGACAGCCTGCCTGTCCGACATCGAGTCCTGGACGAGAGACAACTTTCTTCAGCTCAACGTGCGAAAAACCGAGGCCCTCCTGATTGGCTCACGTCAGCGCCTCCGCACCTCAGGCGCTGACACCATCAGCATCCAAGGCTGCACTCTCCACCTCTCAAAGCCAGTCAGGAACCTCGGCGTTTTGTTCGACCCTGAGCTGTCCTTTCTCCCTCACATCCGCACCACAACTGGCACCGCCTTCCATCACCTCCGGAATATCGCCAGATTACGGCACTACCTCACCCCTCACGCTGCTGAAACCCTGGTTCACGCCTTTGTCACCTCAAGGCTGGACTATGGGAACTCTCTCCTCGCCGGCCTTCCCGGCACCTCCCTCCACAAGCTGCAGGTCATTCAGAACTCTGCAGCTCGTGTACTGTCCCGCACCAGGCTTCGCGACCACATCACTCCCACCCTCGCTCGCCTCCACTGGCTCCCCATCCCCCAGAGGATTGATTTCAAGATCCTCATCCTCACCTACAAGGCCATTCACGGCCTTGCTCCCTCCTACCTCTCCAACCTACTATCCCCCTACCTACCTGCCCGTACCCTCCGTTCCTCTGGCTCCGGTCTGCTCCACGTCCCCCGCCCCAACCGCCCTACCATCGGTGGTCGGGCCTTCAGCCTCTCAGCCCCCAGGCTCTGGAACTCCATCCCCCAGTGCCTTCGCCGCTTCCTCCCTTTCCTCCTTCAAGGCCGGTCTCAAAACCTTTCTCTTTGACCGTGCCTTCAGCTCCCCTCTCGACTCTCTTCCTCCTCCTCGCTCCCTCCCTTCCCTCCCCTCACCCTGACCATTTCCCCCTCCTCTCTCCCTTCCTCCCTCACCCTGACCATTTCCCCCTGCTCGGGTCATGACCCAACTGTGCAGCGCCTTGGGACGTCCTCCTGACGTGAAAGGCGCTCTATAAATGGAATCTTGTTGTTGTTGTTGTTGTTGTGCAGAACTGCAGGTATCACATTTTGGTATATTTTGAATGGTTTCAAAGTCTTAACTATATTTTTAAACTGCTGAAATCTGATCATTCTAATCTTCGACTCCTTTTCCTGTTTAAACGGGTTCACGATTTGTCGCCACTCTTCCCAGTCCACTGCACAGTTGAGAACTATCACACATAAATAAGAACATAAATGATCTGAATTGCCCACCGGCTCTGTCTCAGCTGCTGACCCTGTGATGGTTTGGAATTGGTTTGCCTTCTAGACCAGCTGCTATCAAAACACAGTAAGCCCGAGTTAGCCAAGCAGATAGGGTGAGCAGAGAAGAAAGTAGGAACAATATACTCAGATACAAGAGAGTAGAACAAGAGGACTTAACTCATGGTATTCAGTGACTTAAGCAGTGTATCAGTTGAACTTAATGGAGTGTTTTTTACATCATTCCCTTCATCCCAAATTTAAGACGAGCGACACAGAGCAATTTCAGAACAATTACCAGAAGGTAATTCCTTACCTGGAGAGTAATTAATGACTAGATGTTATTAGAAAGGGTGATTGAAGTCAGGAAATGACCTAGTTTTTGAAAAAACAACTTGATACTGTGATGCGAAGACAGGAGAATAGGGTATTCTGGAAACATGAGATCAAATGGGCTGAAGGGACCTCTATATCCTGTGATTACTTCCCTGATCTGTCATATATTTTCATTATTTGGGTTCAAGTAGGGTTTTAGCCCATGATATTGAGAAAATTGATTTTGTCTCCAATGATTCAAGACTCATGATATTCAGTGACTATGCAGTGTATCATTTCAACGTAATGGAGTATGTTTTACATCATTTCCTTCAACCCAAATTAATACTTGCTTTGTTCTATTGCAGACTTATAAGCTTTGCTCTAGCATGTCTCCATTGAAAATCAGCCAGATGGACTAGACTATTCAATAGTGCACAGAAATCTTCCATTTTGGCTGTGCAATTTCTCTTCCCTTCTCCAGACTAATTTGTTTTGAAAAGAAAGTTTATGGGGAATACTTTCTGTTGGAAGTTTTTGTTTCCCACCTCTATCAGTAAATAACTCAAATGTATTTTACGTTTATAATATTGGTTTCCTAGTTTTGTATAGATGCTTGGTGATTCACTTAAGCATAAGAGATGAATTCTTCCATCTCTGTTCATTTCAATATAGCCTAGTGCTTCAGATTGGTCTGGGAAATACTCTCAAGTTGTCTACCCTGGAAAAAACACATGCTGGTAACTATACAGCAGTGTCAGTCAGCTAGAAATCAATAGCCTTGTGTTTATTCAGCTTCATCATTGAATATGCAGTTTTATTCATTAACTGTCACATTGCTTCTAATCTCCACCAGAGGTCAGTAATTCACTGTATCTTCCTCATCATGTCTTGAGATAAATACTCCCAAGGAGATTTTTTTAATTTTGATTGTTTAAACTTCTTTATAGAAGTTCAAGCAGTCAAACATAATTTTAATTGTATAGGTAATGTAATTGCATATTTCTGCTTCCGACTACGGTAAATTCCTGTCTCAACTTGTCACCACTGAAGTCAGAATGCTGTTGATATCCTGGATGCATTTTTTAAATGTATTTATACATGTATGCCTAACTCCTGATAATTTGTCACTTGGCCCTTGGAGTTATGAGTTATCTGGAGTTTATTGTAATCTAGGTTTGTCCAACACACTAGTGCAAAGCGTTAGTGCACCAATACTCTTTATTGGACTCTCATTTTAGTTGGCTCATCCAACAAGTTTGGTGCTTTGAAATTTCAATTTGAGCCTCAGACCAATATTTAAACTCACCAGCAAAGACATTCCAGAGGAAAGAGACATTATCGAAGGACCTGTTTACCAGATCAGATGGATTTTAAAGATGGTATTGGACTATTTCAAAGAGGAAGGATATCTTCATTTGTCCTGATTATTCTTCCCTCATTCCAAATTCATCATACTAGATGAATTGTTCATCTCATTAGCCATCCTTAAATCATAAGTTGTCTGTTGAAAAGATGTAATTGAAGTATGAAATCTTGTGGTTAATATGTGAAATAGAAATTTTCTATGAAATACTTAGATGCTACTTATTATTTGTGGGTAAAATAGCAAATTCATACACAGCAATGATCAATTTAGCTGGAAGATTATTGGACAGTCCTCACTTCTCTTTTTGAATAAAGAGATTATTGTCCCTCTCAACAGGCAGAAGGGTGACTAACAGTACAGTGCTCCCCCAACCAATACACGTTCTGACCCAGAGGTGCAAATGATATCAACTGAGCCAAGCTGACACTTGAGGGCAGAAGTAATTAGACAAGACAATCAGCTGTCCTGGATTTCCAGATAATACTAATCTTTCAGAAAGCTGGTGTGCTTGAGTATCAAATCACATTTATAATGCTCTGGTGCAATTTATTTAGAAATCTGAATGCAGAAATGGGTACAAAAAAATGTTATTGTGCAATTTACTTGAGTTGAATACAGAAATAGTAATTGTGAAAAGCATGTTGCAAGGATTGCTCTTTTAATTATTCAATCTGCAAATCAAATACTGACACTAATGTTTTCCATTCATGCAGCAACAAAAAATTATAATTCATTTTTAGACAATTCATCACACAGAATACAGTAATTTTTAGATTTACACAAAACAATTTAAAAAAATGTTTACAATGATGAACCCCGATTACTGTGTTATGTAAACTGATCGATCATTGAAAAACAAAATTGCTCATTTGGTTCCCTCTTCATACAATACAAACTTGTGTAATGTTCCTGATTGGCTTTTAAATTTGCATCACATTTAGAACTCAATGAGTGGCACAGACTGATTAATGGAGGTGAGTACCTGAATGTAAACAGTGCCTCAAACCATCTGAACTAGCAGGTCATATAGTATATGTATACAATCATCTGGCACTAATTGTATCATACATTACAGGAACATTAACTGCTATTCTGAGGCACTGTACAATTTAATAATTAAAACTGGTATCTTTTCCAAGTATGCTCCCTATAGTTTGTCCCTTTTTGAGGTTTCCGTTTGGTTGTCCAATAGTTCTTTCAGGTTAGGTGCAACCTCAGGAAGTTCCAAAGGGGGGAGATCAGCCAATGAAATATCCTGAGCTGGCATTTCCAAAGGAGGAAGATTAGGTATTGGAATGTCCTTTGCTTTCCCAGCATTGGTGGTTTTATCTGGTGTCTGACTCAGACACCATAATTCAGACTTCACAAAGTCTGCAGCTACATCCACTTCCTTCTCTGATGGGAATTTCCTAAGTCTTGCATTCTCTGCCTTCAGCTGCCTATTCTCCTTCTTTAGTCTCTCATTCTCAGCTACAAGTAGATCAACAAGTCTTTTTAGCTCTGCAATTTTCATTTCTTGTTCCTCTATCCTTGTCTTGTCATCCTTCGGAGCTTTACTCCCTGTACAAGTCTTTAAAGGCATTTCCTTTTTCTCTAGCAGAAAGAGAAGTGTATCTGGTTCTCGATCACATGAGTTTCGAATTTGCCTCAGATATTCATCTCGATCAGAGCTACTCATTTCCACGCTTGTGGAAAGTGTTTTTTGACTATCAGGTTCATCAAAGGAGGGTTTAACAGATAACTGGGATTCAACCTCCTTGTCTACTGTTGTCATGTGTATCTGAGCCCTTAGCTTTTCTTCCCTCTTGGCCCGCTTCCATCTCTCCTCAATTAGGAGTTGATGCTTGATATGGCTGTCCCGTTGTAGCTTCAATGATAATAATGCCTGTAGATTAAAAGTATAATATTTTATTAGCATCAAACAGACATTAATTGATTAGATCAATATAAATCATATTAATGTGCAACAAATATAGTAAATAATGCAATGCTAACATGACCTGGTGGCTTTTTACTTAACTGTAATCCAGAGACCCTGCTTAACCCCCTCGACCTGTAATTTGACATCGAACAAGTATAATTTCTAGGTGTATGATTAGGTGGATAGCAGATACCAGGAACTTCCTGCGAGCTTCCTGATGAGGAGCTTAACATGAAATACACAAGTGCATTGCCATCATCTTCCTGTCCACATCTCCGCACACACTGTGTGACCTGTTGGAGATGCAGAACTTGAGCAGCAATAACTTAACTTTCCTCGTACTAATAATGATGAATACCAAGCCTTGCATGTAGGAATGTGGTTCCCAAACCTAAATTCCAGGTAATACCTTCCAGCAGCTGTTATCCCAAGCCTCAGAGTTTTCTCATCAGCTATTCAATGTACACCTGCATTTGGCTTTTACACTGTGTAGGGACCTTTACACAGTCAGTCGGCTTCATAACCAGTACTGGAATTGAACCCCTAGTTAACTACCTTTGATATTCCAGCGGTCCAATACTGCTTACTGAATGTCAACTGCTTAATCTAGGTCCTCATTTGAGGCTTTGGCAAATAGACATACCAGCTATGAAGCAGACTTTGCTTCCAGGATGCTCAGCAATAGATCAGTGTAGGTTGCAGCCCTGCCTCCCTGAAGCCAGTTCCCCTTTTTAATCGCAAATGCACCTCACTGAACTCACAAACAGGTAGAAGGAAAATGTTCTACCTCATGACCAAGATCTTGGTACCACGCCACACATCATTTCTGTTCCAATTTTAATCGGACTGTTAGGAATGTACAAGGACTGCCTAGCCAAACATGGCTATAGATTTACATTTGTTAGGAGATGCAGAAAACTGAAGTACAAACCATTGTTTTAAATAAAAATAACCGATTGATTGTGGGAGCTAGCAATGCACAAGCATAACAGATTGAATGGCTTCTTTTTGTGCTCATTTCTAGAACTAGAGAACTAAAAGTTCCAGTACAGATTTTATCAAACTAATTAGCAACTGAATGTTGCATAATCAATTCTATTCATATTATATTAATATTCATATAGACCTATTGTGACAACTAAGTGAGAGTATGGTGTGGTACTGATCTATGCAAACTAGACCTGGTTTGTGCTGTGCTTTGCTGATCTCAGGGGGAAACAGTATGAATGCTATATTGGGCATTCATGTTCTACAAGATGAGTAAATAAGATCAGTTTGTACTCTTCATATCCAGTAATTCCTGCTTAAAAGTTTGTGCATGAATATTGACAAGAGTACAGGATATGGCTTATGTATTATGATTCCTCACTGCTCAAGTATCAAGAATGGAAAATTGTATTTAAAGGGCTGGCAACACCCAAACAATCATATTCTTGTCAACAGAGAAGGGGAGCAAACTAAAGAAACCAGATGAGCACATGGTTTAGAAGCTACAGTGTGCCACAGAATTACAATGTACTATATATACACACATTGGCTCAGTGCTACTTTAAGGATGCAGCTGTTTTGCAGTTTCAGCACTGAACATCACAAAGTGCATTCTGTTAGTCAATACATTCCTCGCACAATGCATACCTGTTCTGACTGTGTTAGTTTCATGGCTTCCCCAAGGTGGTCTGAAAAGAAGAAAAAAACAATCAGTTAACCATATATGACAGTATATAAAGTACCCTTACTCAACAACAATCTGACCGAGTTCCCAAAGTAGTATTCCATATAGACAAGCCCCAACAAGTATCAAACCAAAAGGACAAAGATTTCCAGATAACAAAATGGTGGAATACTGATTCAGACCATGGTAATTGATCAGCTTCACAATAGGAATAAGTATTTTAGAATAGAATACTGAACCAGGCTTACAAATTGGGTCAACTAATGACGTTTTACTGAAGTACATAATTTGTAGTATTCTCTTGTCAAATGCAATGGGTATTGCACACTTGTATCTTCTGTTCATAAATGCAAGGATTCCTTATGTAAAATACTATGAGAGCAGGGAGTGCTAAATAACATCATGTGAACCCCTCACCAGAGTCCAAAGACAATTTTAAAAATCCTGCAAGACTGCAGTGAGTTAGCCAGCCCCAGGCAGGGTTGCAATTGGCACATCCTGCCTAGCCGAAGAAAGTAGGGGTGGAAGTTAATGGTCAGGGTTTCTGAACCAGTTTTCTGTCTTGTGACTCCTGTTGAAAATGCACATGTACAAGACTGGGCTCAGCTGTGATAACTCTCACGTGGTTGAATAACTTCCAAGAACTATCAGACAGCTGGTTCCAACTATGGAATCAAACAAAGATTTATTAATTTCATCTGGATTTTAAATGTAACTATCAATGAAGAAACCTTACAGTCATTGACTGAAGGATTGAAACTGAGCTGAATGTCACTTTTATAATAAATTCATTAGTCCTTTATTAATTTGTTTTCAATGCTGCTCAAGTTTAAGTCGTGTTATCTGGGTGTAGTTACTATCTCTCACTCAAGTGGGTCATTTATGATCAGTTAAATTTTGTAACAATTCATGGTACCACATATACATGTGTTGGTCAACTTTCTGCTTTAAAAAAAATTGTAAATGCTACAAGGATAGAAGAGAAATATAAATGAACCTGAAAAAGTGCAATAAACCAGATTTTCTGCTTTTAAATAAATTGTTATATCTTTTCCCACATGTCTAAATGAAACAATGGCTTGCTAATTAATTGGAATTGCTAACAGTTTCTTCAAAAATAATTTCTCCCTCTGCAGTATTTTCAGCAGTAAAACAGTTTGCTGAACACACCATTAAACATTTACGTCTGATTAAAAATAGTAGCAATCGAACGTAACAAATGTAGGTCCTGAAAATATACGTAAATTAATGTTTTTCTGTAAAATACATATCTAATGCATATGACTCAAAGTCCCATCTATCCCTGTAGTTTATCAATAATTGTTATTAACTTTGCAGTTTTCAAAAAACATTTATCTGGTTACTATAATGGGGCAGTATTGTACTTTACAGTGTGTTCTGTGAAGCGCTTTGGGACGTCCTCCCGACGTGAAAAGCGCTATATCAAATGCAAGGATTATTATTATTATTATTATTGGCCTTTAGCTCCATCACCTTCTCTGAGTCCCACAGATTTGAAATTTAAGAGGAGAGATTAATTACAACAGAAATCTCCTGGGCCTTTATAATTGTTTCTCTGTAAACAACCAATAAGGACATTGAACAGACCACAAGCCAATTTCCCTCCACCTGAGTGTCACATCATTGTTTAACAATGGGGAAGTAAACAGGTGAGATTTAACCAGGAGCCTTAAACCCATCACTAAACATACACATTTGTTGTTTCCTCACATCACTATCTGAAGGTTTCAAATTATTTAAGCATTAGTTTTATACTAAAAAAAGGTTTACCAACCTGCAGCCTTTTCATGGCAAGCAATAGCTTCAGCATACTTTCCTGCTGCAAGCATACGTTCCGCCTTTCTGCTCTGCTGATGAGCCTGAAAGAAATGATGCTTCTTGAAAGAAATAATATCCAAACCACCATGTATCAGCCTGGCTCGGTGATAGCATTCTTGCATTGGAAATTGTGGGTTCGAACCCCACTTTGGGACTTAGAATCATAATATCTGACACTCCGATGCAGTGCGGGAGGTGGGTCGTATTATCAGATGTGGATTTCTTAAGAGACATTAAACCAAAGTCTCCTCTACCTATTCTGGTGAATATTAAAAATGCCATGGCACTATTCGAAAAGAGAAGGGAGATTCTCCAGGTATCCTGACCAACAATCCCCCACATAAAATTGGTCATTAGCTCGGTTTGTGGGACTGCTCAGTTCACCCAAAAAATAGCCCAATCGCCCAAAGTGGATTCACTTTACAGTATATCCTGTGAAGTCCTTTGCGATATATCAACAACTGGATAAGGAATTACACCAAATTATTATAATAATCCTTGCATTTGATATTAGTGCTTTTCACATCTTCTAGATGTCTCAAAGCGCTTCACAGAATATACTGTAAAGTGAATTGACTGTATATTTGTGGGCAAAACGTGGCAGCCAATTGCGCACAGCAGTGTCCCACAAACAGTTTGTGGATTGAAGCGACCAATTTTTTTTGAGGATTATCATCAGGCGTGTAGAATAACAAAACTTGCCCAAGGTTTTGCCCTGCCGGGAATCAAACCCAGGTCTCTCGTTTGCAAGGCAAGTGCTCTAACCACAGAGCTACAGGATTCCACAACCTTTTCTGAGTTTGTTAGAGAAGGATGTGAAGGATTGTCAATTATCATTGTTATAATGGGAATTTGATTATGTATTGACTCTTTATAAAATGAATGTTTAGACAACTATTTTTCCCATTTGGAGCACATCACCCATATCCTATATAATGATATAAAACAATTCTAGCATTAAGTGCCTATGTCATTGAAATGTCTCAAGGCACTTCTGAGAGAATGGCTGTCAAGTGCAGTGACTGAAGGCAAACAGTGCAAGAAATTTGCATGCAGCAACATCCCACAACCACCCATTAGGTAAATGACCAATTTATCTGAGGTATTGTTGGTCAGAAAACCAGGATAAAATCCCTTCTCTTTTTAAATGGTATGATGAAATTCCTATTGCCCACCTGAACAGGCAGACATGATCATAAGATTGTTTTGGATTGGCCCATCCAATCTCATCCTTGCAGAACAAGGATGTTCTAGTGTCTCTCCATCACAACATCAAGCTGCTTTTTATGAGTCCAGTGTTCTGCCACCTGTTCCAGTTGTTGATCAGCCTCTGATCTTGGTGTAGCATCTTGGGATGTCCTCCTGATGTGAACGGCATTGTACATACGTAATTTGTTGTTGTTACCTTCTCATTGCAAGTAACTGTACCTATGTCTACATCTGTAACGCCAACATAGATTTGATGACTGTGGGTATCTTCATTATATCCAGAAATACAAATATGAAATCTAATGGCTCTGCACTTGAAATCGTACTCTGACCAATCTTTAGTCTCTTTTTGTCTCAATCAGATTGGCTCAGTTGGGAGCATTCTCACCTCTGGATCAGGCGGTCAGGCTTTGAGCTCATAGTTGAGGTTGACATTCCAATGCAATATGAATGAGTATTTCGTCAGAGGTGACATACAAAAGTGACACAGTACAGAAACAGGTCTTTCTGCTCAACTTGTCCATCCTGACTGACACCATTAGGGTGAAACATTAAACTATGGTCCTCTCTGTGTGTCTTGCAGGTAAATAATCCAGATACTATTCAAAATGAGAAGGACGTTTCTCTGGCCAACAATCCTTTTAGTTTAATTGGCTAGTCATCTCATGGCTGTTTTAGAGTCCTTGCTGGTGCCATAAAAAAAAACAGTCCCTATGATTTAGCATTTATTTGCTAAACGTTTTAACAAGAAAAAGTACTAAACAGGTAAAGCTACACTTAACAGCGCAAGTTGATTCTTTGTTTTTAATCTTGGTTTTTTTTCCCCCACCCGACTAACCGAGCTCAACACAATCTTCAGAGATGGCCTGGACACTAACCTTAAAAGACTGTAACCCGAAACCCTGCCTCACTTGCCATCCCTCAATCACCGCGAACCGGATTCTCCATTCCAATGGTGAGGTTTGGACGAAGGAAGGCACTCCCCCGAAACGTCAACACCTTTTCCCAGCTGATGTGGCCCCAGCTTTAAACTCCCAGCGTTGTTTTCGCTGCAGATTTCCAACGTCCTCGGGGGAGAGGAGGAGGAGGAGGAGATGGTGGTGGTGGTGGTGGGGGGTGTTTTTTTTTAAAAACAATATCGCTTTCCCCAATGATTTAAAACTTTGTTGAAAGTCAGGCCAACCCCGAATGACAGCCGGCAGGGCTTGGTCAAACGTGATACAGCGTATAACAAAAGAGCCGTTTGAATATTGCCGTTTGAATATGTATTTTTAAATGTAAATGAGGGGGGGGGGCGGACGGGACGTGTGAACCTGGTCACTGGGGGCTATTGCAAAGTTGCGTTGTTTTTGTTGTTGTTGTTGTCGTTGTTGTTGCTTGATTTGCAGAAACCGAGTCTTGTTTAATTGTTTTTATGTAAATGTTGAGACGTCTTCGGTCTGTGATGGGGGCTGCACACCCCCACCTCATCCCCCCACCACACCCCACCCCACCTCCCCGGTACAGGGCAAACAAACAGGAACATTGTGTGGCTCTCAGGAGGTGGGGGCACAATAGAGGGTTATTTATTCACACACACACACACACCCACCCCCACCCCTCCCCACACCCCCCAGCGCCGTTACCCCCATTACCGCTCCTTCTCTTTGTGTCTTCAAACAAAGGAAGAAAACGCGAGGAAGAAGGTTGAGAGAGAAAAAAAAACTTACCAGATTCAATGGACTTTCCATAACGTCCATCGGGTCCTTCCTGACCCAACCGCCGCATCCGACACCTCAGCTCGGTCCCGGCAACATGAGGCTCCCGACAGGGCGTATTCCGCCGGCCAATAGGGCCGGCGCCCGGTTACACCGGGGCCTTGTGTTACAGTTTGAGGCTGTTTCTCCTCGATGGCAGCGGAGGGGGAGGGGGGGGAGGAGGGGGAGCACAGCCACTCTCCGCTTCCTTCCCTCCAGCCCCGGCTGACGACAGCGCCGCGGCCCCTGTTGCGTCGATTGGCTCCGTGACCTTGGACCCCGCGCCAAGGCGTGTGATCTCGCGATGTTCGCGCCCCCGCTGGCGGTTGCCGTGGCGACGGGGCCTGGCTCAGGCCGAGGGTAAGCCGCCGCCGCCGCTGCTGCTGGTGATGGATGTCTAATGCTCTCCCCCCCCCCCCCCCCCCACACACACACACACAAACACTCTCTTCGTTGTTTATTTAATTACATTGTGAAAACAACGATTACATTAGATAATCGGAAATTATTTCTGTTGGGAAAATAATAATATGTACGTTTGGGGACACCGCATGCCCATTGCCGCTGCTGGGATGGCGGTAGGCGAACTGGGTGGATCGGGGGCTGCCTCCGCCGAGCAAATTTCTTATGCTTCCATGTTCTTATGATTGAGCGCTTTGAGACGTCTGGAAGATGTGAAAAGCGCTCCTGAGACGCCGTCCGGCGTGGAGGGCGCGATACAAAGCCAAGTTCTTGTTGTTGTCGAAAAGCGCTCTTATCAAATGCAAGGATTATTATTCGTAGACAAGTCAGGGCCCTTCAGTCATTCAGAGACGATAAATCCTATTCGCTGCTCCTCACAGTGGAAATGCTCCTCAGAGAGGAAAATGCTGCGTATATACTATGCTGGGGTGACCCTATTTTGTAAACCAAATCGGGGGCCACACGTGTAAAAAATTGAACTCGCTACAATTTTCTGATACTATCAGTTGCTGGAAAAGATTATTGGATTTGTGGCTGTATTTCTCTAACGAGTGTATGTGTTTCAGAATGGTATTGTTGTTGCTCAGCTTGTTGCTAAACTCGAGACAGAACAAATTTGGCCCTGGGGACACAATACCTAATTCCAGGGACACCCTGGAATCAGGGACATATGGTCGCCCTGTCCTGTAGAGATGTATAATTTTTTTTGAAAAAGATGCACTCACTGTAAAACAAGAGGACATAGGTGTATAGTTGCAAAGGGTATTTGAAGACACACACCAGGAAGGTTTTTTGTTATCCTAAGGGTTACTCCACTACAGTTATCTAATCCTATTTGTTGCTCCTCACTTTTGTCCTTCTACCAGTCCTCTTGTAGCTAGAATTTATTTCATCAGCTTCCTAAGGTACTAATTTTCATCCGATTGGCAAACACATGCTTTTCTTTTTATTGTTCATGCCTATGACATTGTAACATTGGGCACATAATCTTCTGTTGTAACATCCTCAAAGATGGATGGTTCCAGCGTCTGAGGACGAACTCCCGACGTGAAAGGCACAATATAAATATAATTTTGTTGTTGTTAGGATAAGTTCATAACAGCTGTAACTCTTACTTAGTCAGCCTATCCATAAAACCAGGAGTAATAAACAAGAACATATTTGTTTTTTCATGGTAATTGATTTTAAAAAAAGGATACAAAAACTTGATTCTTCATTTGAAGAGGAAGGGACCCACTAACAGCTGTGAAGTAAATAACCAATATTTGTTTTATAAATATTATGCAAGTAAAGATGTTTTGTTTTGCATGTTGACTCCATTCTATTTGGTTAATCAGATTTTTCCAATATATGCCGTGTAGTTAATTAAAAGTTGTCATGAAGTAAAACTGTGAACACAATTTATTACCTTTTCCTTAAATTTCACTCTGAGGTGTGGTGGATGAACCTGCTTCCTCTAGTGTCTAAGACAGAAAATTGTGCTGTCTTTAAATTCTTGATTTTCCTTTCTTCCATTTTACTTTTCAGTTTCCCCTAGTTTCTATGTTTAGTTCAGTTTCGTACCCTACTAAAACCTGACTTCTCAGTCAGAACTTCTTTCTGCTCCCAGTCTTTGTGAAAACTTATTTGAAATAACATTGGATTACTTGAAAACGTATTTATTCATTGCTTTGATACTGTGAGGCAATATGAAAACTTGTCATGTTTACTAGTTTTTATATTTAAAAAAAAAGCTGCAAGAATTCTGCTTTGCTTGCAGTCAGCTTGGAGGAGGAATGATGTGGCAGTATAACCGCAGGTTGCTGGATCCATCACATGTCCCACATCAAATTGGCACTTATAATGGGCTCACAGCTCCTCTTTCCCCCCACCACCTAAACACTAAACAGTATGATGCTATGTTAATAAGTGTACATTATTATTTGTAGCAATGTGACATTTTGCTTACTTTAAATATATGCCTCAATTTATCAGACTACAGTACAGTTAAACTTTAGCCTATTTGCTTTATGGATTTTATGCTGAAAATAAGTGACTCATTTGCTCTTGGTTCTTGAAGCTGCAGAATGGGCATGTGAAAATGACCCATATGAAGCTCATTATTTGCTTTGATTGTTGTGGCGTTGTGGTCTTTGAAAAGCACTTCATATAGAGAGAGGAAACATTTTGGAATATTTACAATGCCACCTGCTGCTTTTAAGTTGAAATTATTACTATGATCTGAAAAAAAGTTTTTAAATATGGTATGTAGCGTACACTGAATTATTTTCAAAGTGATGTGGAGGTTCACTGAGAGAGAAATTGAACTTTCAGACTGTTAAGAAGACAGTATTGAAAGAGAAAATGGAACACACAACATTATTGCAATTACAAGTCTCAAAATGGATACATCAAAAATAAAATTTGGTAACCATTAAGTACTTTATTATCCTTGCCAACAAATTGCAATTGAGCAAACTGTGACTAATGTGGTCTTCCTAAAGTTTGCCTCTGTTATGTTTATGCCAATAATGACATCTGATTATTTAAAGTTTAAAACATACAGCCTTTGAAAATGATCTTAGTAAGATATAATTTCCAGACTTTGAGTTAAAGACAGCAATCATGGTATCATTTGTGTTGATCTTGTGAAATTAAGAATTAAACACTATTTGTTTTTTGGTTTAAGAAAGCAGTGTTTGATTCACCTAAATGTGAAAATAATCACAATTGTGTTTCTGCAATTTAAGTAGGAGGTGGTATTGATAGACCACCAGGATAAGAATGTAATAACTTACAACTATGATGGTAAGAAGTATGTGTATGATTATCATCCTGTTGTACAAACTAAGAGATAAAATAAAGAATTGCATGGCAGTGAGCATATCATTGAAATTTGTCCTGTTGGTTCTGATTTCCCTCAAATCCAGGGGCTAGTTAATTCAGGTTGTATTTCTGATAGCTATAAAATAAGAAATTAAAAACTCTGCTTTCCACAAAGCATCAAGAGCCCCTCCGCCCGTAAATTAATTTGAAATAAATTGAGGAAGGGTTTATCACATAAATGTGATAGACTCATGTGATAGCATTTTACTACAGTAGATAACTCATATGATTCTAAAGTACTCTGGTACACAGGAATGTGATTTGATTTGCTACTTGTTTTGAAGAGAGATAAATTATGCATCCAAATTATGTGGATTATTCGAATGGATCGGCAGCAGCTCTGATCTCATTATGAAAGTCTCTGTATCTAGAACTAGGCAAAAAATTTCACTTGTCAATCAAGTTACCAGCTTTTCTCATAATGTTGTTTGCAGATGCTGCCAAGATTGTTACATTTCCTGAAAACAGAAAATAAAGTATTAGCACAGAAGGAAATAAACTCATTATTCTGGAAGTTCAGTTCACTTACATTTTTTTGAACCACTGTTTTAAACCAGTAAATCTTGTTACCAGTTATTCGTGATATGACGATTTTAAAAATATTATGCTGTTCATGGTACAGTAATTGCTTTATATAATGTATTTTAAACGCTGTTAGGATATTTTTCAGTATCTAGCCCTAAATAAGCACAAGTACCCCAAGAACTGGAATGCTGCTTTAAAGTTTTGCTACATAATCTATCATACTTAAAGGTTGTTAATAATATTACTCTCTGTGTTCTTCAGCACTACTGGGGAGAAAAATTGAGAGAAAGGGATTCAGCCATAGCAGAACTAATTTCATAGGAATTCCTTCCTAATCATGCATTTTCACATATGTTTGTTCTTAAAAACTTAAAAAAGTTTCATTCAGATGTTTTATCCTCCAACACTACAAAATCCATGCTGTCTAATGCTTTTTGTTTTGTCCATAGGGTCCAATATCCATAGTTCGTGACATGAGGAAGGAGCTATCAGTCTCAGACAACACACGTGAACCCACACCACATCCAGATTTATGCCCCAAAACTCTTTAGTGCTTCTGCCCTCTCTCCTCTAACAAAGGATATTGAATCCAGATGTGAGCACAGTTATTACTGTGCAAACACTTTTGAAACAAAAGCCCAAACAATATGGGCCAGAAATTTGAGAATAATGGGGTTGACAACATACTTTGCAAGCGGTCTGGAGTTGAATTTAATCATGCTGTATATATAGTACTTCATGGCATATTTTGTGATGGCTAAGTCAGTTCAGTGATTAACATAGGGCAAAGTGAACAGTAAAGTGTGTGAACTAGAAGAACAATGTTGTGGACAGTGAGTGGTACAATGAACTATTTGAGTTTTGATAGGAGTATTTATTCACTAAAATAAATGATATGATGTAGCTATGTAATATTGCAAAGGAAACTGGAATGAAATAAGTAACTGAGAAGACGACAGAAAGTTTGGGATGGAAGTTAACAACAACAACAACAAAATTACATTTGTATAGTGCCTTTCATGTCGGGAGGACATCCCAAGGCGCTGGGTTAAGGTTAGAGTTAAGGTAAAATATTTGGTACAGGGTAGTCCAACAGATTGGACTAAGACAGTGTGTTGTATAAATTTTACCCCCCACCCACCACACACACATTTAGTTGTTGGTATCAATTTTTGTATTGTTTCTACCATCTAGTGGCTGTGAGGGAGTAGCTTTAATGGTGACCTAGTAGCAGATCATCATCTTATTCTCACTGTTGAAAGTCCTACATTGCCCAGGAAGATCAGACAGATTAGAAACTTTTCCCTCCGCAAAAATTACAATTCAACAATATATATAACAGCGTTTAACTGACATTATTAACTATGGATGTTGTTGAATTAGCATTTCACGTATAACACGGCCTCTGAGCTATTTAACCCCACATTATAATGAGGCTATCCTGTACCAATAATTTCATTCATATTTCAGAAGGCATAATTAAGATGTTTGCCTTAATAAAATTATGCATTTGCAAATGTAAATTCCACTTGGCCTAGATTTATTTTATTTTCATTTTCTACAGAATACACAGTCATTATACCTGATGTGAAAGGCTTTACAGTGAAATTCATAGAAGTCTTATCTTTATAAATCATATAATTGCCAATGGTACATCAAGGTCATAAATAAATACTATGATTTGTGAATATCAAATGTCATAGTTAAACTTAAGTACACAGCCATGTGTACCATCACTTCCTGTGAACAGATAGGCCTCCATCATGACAAAGGCTTCCATCCAATGGAATGCATTATAACTATCAGTGGCCCTTGTACTGTAGTTGAATGAAAATAATTTGTTTTGATGATTGTTGGTAGAAAATAATAGAATATTTTTACATTACATGTGTTTACCTCGTGTAAACCTCTCCCTTGCTCAGTGTCAAGCTCTTCCATTGTTAAATGCTCTGAGACATAATGCATGAAAGTTGTTGGTGTAATCCACATTTCTTTCATAAAATATGTTACACGATAAATTTTGTATTAAGGAAATGCAATTAATTAAATTCAAAGCTACTTCGTTGTCCAATTTGTTTCTGTGTCAGTATTTTCATATAGCCTTTGCTCCCTTTTAGAATATAGTTGCAGTTACAATATTAATTCTCTAGGTGGCTTCAAAGACTGCTAAATCAATCTTTGAAGCAACCTAGAGTTTGGTTCCACATTTTTTTTAGCTAAATACAAAAATACTTAAGTATTTCAAGGTTGTTATGAGCAGCACTGCCTTCATAACGATTATTTGGCAAATGTATTTTTGCAATGGAATGAAAGCCATGTGTCAATTTTGTAGCAATGACATCAGGCAAAAATGATGCAACAGTGGATTTCAGTGTTATCTGTTATTGTATTCTGTGTTTGTAGATCAATAGAAAAAANCATGCTAAATACAATCAATACGATGTAATGATTAGGAATGAACAAAGTATGATGAACAAAGCAGAACTGAGAGAGTTTCCGTTATAAAACTGGGACCTAGCAATGTGTATTAAAGCCTGAATTTTACTGCTACAGTAATTGCTGTTAGAAACAAATGATTGCACAATGCACATTTTGAATTATATTTATTCAACTGGCACATCTAGATTTCACGGGGTTTGAATTCTATGCATGCAGAATATTGAAGGTATAGTTGATACAGAACTAGGGCTGAGTCAAGTGTGAGTCTGCCAACGATAATTGGTTTAATTGGCAGATTTTGTGACTGAATGGAAAACCTTTCCACTCAGTTTAATATGGTGTGTCGTGGCAAAATTGCAACCAAAACCCATATCTTAGCATTAAAACTAGGCAAATAATTTACGACATGCAGATAATCCCCCCTACATTTTAATCTAAGAATACAATGATTTATCATCAAAGCTAAAATAAATTAGCACCCAGTACAGTCTTTTCAACTTTGGTTGTAATTTCTCAGAAATTATGGAGCCTACAAAATGTTTCATAAATATTCTGCCTTTGCCTACTGAACACATGTACCTAAATTAGAGCCTTGGTAGAAGTTTTGAAATCCAAATGTTTATAGAAATATTTCTGATATAAATCTTTTAGAAAAAGAATGGTACATGGGAATTGCTGTAGGAGTAAATTGATGGCTCTAATACACATTGCTGGGTCCCAGTTTTATAACGGAAACGCTCTCAGTACTAATAACATCATACTTTTGTTTTATATTTTTAAGTACTCGATCAGCATTGTAACAATTTATATGGATCATGCAGAGTAGGTTTTCTGTATGTAACATTTTCCGCTCAAGAACCTGTTAATAATAATAATAATAATAATCCTTGCATTTGATTTAATGCTTTTCATGTCTTCTAGATGTCTCAAAGCGCTTCACAGAATATACTGTAAAGTGAATTGGCTGTATATTTGTGGGCGAAACACGGCAGCCAATTGCGCATGGCAGTGTCCCACAAACAGTCGTGGATTGAAAATGACCAATTTATTGTTTTGTTTTGGAGGGATTATTATTATTAGGCGTGTGGAGTAAGGAGTAAGTTGTCCCTTTGAATGAAGGATGGCTCACTTGGTTGATTCTTGCCTGAGTCAGAAAGTTATGAGTTCAAACCCCACATCAGGAATTTGAACTCACATAGTGACACTTCAATACAGTGCTGAGAGTGTGCTGCATTGGTTGAGGTACTGTTCAAATGAGACAAAAAACCAAGGTAATGTCTGCCTGTTCGGGTGGACACTAAAAATTCCATGGTACTAATTGAAAAGAGAAGGAATTTCTCCAAGAGACCTGGCAAACAATTCTCCAAATAAAATTAGTCATTCATTTCACGGTTGTTTGTGTGACATGCTGGATGGAAATTGGCTGCTACGTCCACCTACAAAATACACAGTCATTATACTTCACAGTAAATCCTGTGAAGCGCTTTGAAACGTCCTCCTGACGTGAAAGGTGCTATATGAAAAGCAAGGATTATTATTAATGTTGAATTTGTTTTGTACCTTATAGAACACAAACTTAGATCTTTCACTTTTCATTGGCAGAAGTATTATATTGCTTACTGAAGGAAATATTGCAATATTTCTAAAATTGGCCAAAGGTTCTTAAACATTTAAGCAGTTATTCAACCTCAATTGGCATTTTTATTGTGTGTTTCCAAAGCAACGATTGATGTTATGCAGGGCTAAAAGCTAAACCAAGTTGAAAAAATTGCTTTAGTGATTGAGAAGATTCTTCACTGTGAGACTGGCTGAATTTTGCAGTCGTCTTGCGACTTGTCTTATTTTGCATGTAACAATAAATAGTGTATTTTAATGTAGAGCTGTGCAGAAGCTTTTTCTGCGTTGGCAGAATTCTGGGAGTAAAGTACAATAGCACATTTTGCCTCTGAATAGCACAAAAGGATTACTATACTAAATGGCCCAACAATACCCTGTGATCTAAAATTTTTTTAAACAAACCGCACAAAATGTATTTGCAGAAAATTTAAAGTGCAATTTTTTTGATCTGAAGCATTTAAATAAGCATGTCTATTGTTTTAAGTCACCAGTTTAAAACAAACAATATATTCATATAAAATCTTTATTTTTTCTATTAATTTACATTGCAATAGAAACTGCACCATTGTATATTTTTTAAAAAAGGTTTATCTTGGAACCATGTGATTTTTTGTTTTTGGATAGCCGGGTGTCTGACATATGCGGAAACCCATCACCATGCTTAAAGAGTATCCAAACCAAACAGAATTCTATGCATCCCACCTACACAAGGAAATTCCAGAGAGAAATTGTTGGAATGGAATGTGCACTCTCCCTGGAGGGATGCATCCTGCTTCCCTAATTCCAGAAAGTATTAGGCACAGGTTGGCAAGAACCAAGGCTTTGGAACCCCATAGTGCGAGTTGGGGTACTGCTGGAGTCTAACCACGTAGTTTGCCTTTGGAAATATTGTCTGGCAAGCTTTCCCACTGCTTGTCCAAGTAGGACCACCCTACCCATTAGGGCTTTGGCGTGCATGGTTAGCAGGAGTTGAGTGGGACGATTCCATGGCCACAGTGACTAGTCCGTCCTTCCAAGTTCTGCTGATCAGCTGTGCTGATCTGTGCTGTCATCAGCAGTGCCTTGGAGTACTGCAGACCTGCCTAGCTCAGGAACAGGGCTACCGAGACCGGCTTAGCGGGCTGGCTCGATTCTGATATTCTGATGCCAAACATATTACCTTGGAGCCACTTCAGCTCCAAGGAGACCCCGCTTACCTCCACCCCATCCTACTTTGGTTCTCTACAGCTAATATACAGACTGTCAGGAAAGCCAGCTAATAATTACTTTGAGCCATATTAATTTTAAACTGAAAGACCCACATATTTATCCTTATTTGCTCCATCACATTATTGAAGTTGGCTAAACTGGATGCAGTGCAGTTTTTATCAATCTACATTTATTATAGACAAACAGATCTGTTTATTGCTTCAGACATACAAGGAATGAACTTGCTTGTATGACAACATTTTAATAATAATAATCCTTGCATTTGATATAGCGCTTTTCACGTCGGGCGGACGTCCCAAAGCGCTTCACAGAACACACTGTAAAGTGAATTGACTATTTGTGGGAGAACGCGGCAGCCAATTGCGCACAACAATGTCCCACAAGCAGTCGTAGATTGAAAATGACCAATTTATTATTGTTTTTGGTTTTGGAGGGATTATTATTTTAAAATTCTGTAAGAACATTAGAAACCATTTTGTTGCAAATTAGCTATATGCAGATATTGTCAAATAATGTATCAGAAAATATTAGTACTATATATACATTTTTGAAATCTTTGGATAAGAGTGTGTTGAACTGACCCATGGAAGTACAACCAGGAATGGTGGTGAAAACTATTATGGAGTACAATCTGTGTATCTGCAGAATGTACGAAACATAGAAATCATCTGAACAATCTAATCGATCCAATCTACTTGTGTTTTTCAGATTTATAAAATTGATGCCTTTTGGTTTCATTGTTCTGTAATTCGTTAAAATATTATGCAAATCAATGTAATTAATTACTAATCTGTTATTTACTGTGTCAGTCTTTCCTGATTTATTTCTGTGTAAAAAGGCTTAAATATATCACAACTGCATACTATGACAGCAGTTTTGTGCTGTTTAGAAATAGCTTTCATGAGGAGGAGGGAGATGCGATTGTGACTTACCTGTCTACGAGCTAAAGGGTTGTGATGAGCTGGCTTCCCTTCACTGTCATCTCCTCAGGAGGTAAAATTCTTCAGCCCACACTTTTGCTTAGCACTTAGTTGCTATTATTTATCCTTTGTGTTTTAGGGATCTGCCTAGTTTGTGCGATTGAGTTATGCTCTAGCTAAAGGCAGACCAGTTTTGTCATGATAGGCAAGCTCACATAGCCTCCCACACAGGGTCTTCCTCAAAGGGGAAAAGGAATGGCAACTTCTTTGAAGCAATACTTCCAAACAATAGGGATCCCCAGTGAGGCTTGATCTGTTTGACAATTATTTCTTTCTTACCACTACACATGTAAAACTATTAGACCATTATACGTCCATCTCCATTTCTAATGTGTTCCGCCCACATATAAAGATTAATGCTTTTATTTTGCCTATCATACATGTTGTGATTCTGAACCAAGTTTATTTTACATTCAACTTTAGGATTAAAATATGCAATGATATATCTGCAAACTAGTGGATTATATTTATTATAAATATAGGGCAGTAGGTACCTGCATAATTTGTATTGTTTACAAAGTACTGTTCATCTTGTATAATTCTATATTAGACTTTTTCAGATTGAATTGTTACAGGGTTGAGCTCCGTTCATGGCCCAGTGGTTGAAGGCACTGCCTATAGAACTAAGGTATATAAACCAGAAGATTACAGATTTGATTTCCAGTCTGTTGCTGATCTGGAGCAGTAATTGAGTTGATATAGTTAGTTCAGCGTTCCCAGGTTAGGAATGGGAAATCAGTTGGCATTCTCGCTCATTATAGCTATGCACTAATGCCTCCTGGAACTTGCATTACATTTTATTTTCAGTCATTTCTGTGAAGATGTG